TAACAAGAAGTATACATCACGACGTTGACTAATAAAAAAAAAAAAACACAGTTTGCACTCTGCCTAGTGCTTATACTCCATCAATTCAGGTACTAGCCAATGTTGATAATTTGCTCTTATAACAGGCTAATACAAAATACGTAACTTAGCCTAACCTAACCTTCGTTTCGATGTTCTCACTAGCAGGCCAATAGCCGGAAAGGGAGGGGGAGGGGGGAATTGCCCGTGGCTATGAAGAGTAAAGAAAATAAGTGCTCTTTTTTTAAATCAAGTTCTTCAGCAACACTCTCTGTCTCTCTCTGTCTACCCTATCGCCCCCTATGACCACCATGTGCTTGATGCCCGTGGGCTAAGATTTAGGTGCATGTTAAAGAATCCCAGGAGGTCGAAATTTCCGGAGACCTCTCATAACCATATAATGGTTTTAGGACGTTAAGCCGTAACCAGCTTTCTTATAGATTTTTTTCGCTGTTTTCCTCTCTCAGGTCGCTGTCGTTGGGAATGCGACATAATATATGTCTAAATTTCAGCTGGACCTTATTATCTCTCGCTCTCTCACATACACACACACACGCACTCTTCTAGAGATTGTCCTTACTGCGCAATCATCTGTAAAAGCCAATTAATGGCCCTACCTATAAAAAAGGAGATTTTTATTCATAATTTCGTTCTTCACTATAAAATAATCGACGAGAGCCAACTGAAAATCAAAATAAATATACAAAAAACATGTTCAAGTTTGTTCTTGTCACTGCTATTCTAACGAAGTGCAGAACACGGTATGCCACATCACGGATTCTCAGCACGCGTGAAGGACGGCCATCTCGCAGTTGTCGCAAAGTCACGGCGCCTTGCGCCGAGATTATCAGGATGCTGCGCAGGACATCCAGGTGCATAGGTCACGTCGTATCGCCTTTTTTTTTCTTTCTTTTTTTCCTTCTTGTATGTCGCCTCTTGGTGTGCGGCACGTATCTGACATGCCGCTGAAATGAGTGGACACTCATTCGCACTCACTGAACACGGTTGCATGTGAAGAGAACGTCTTTCAGAGATTCATGCATGGCACCCGCTTCGTGTAACCAGGTGTTTCATAAATACTCATGGCCTAATTCTACTACCGTATATGCTCGCGTATTGCTACACTAACTAACTTAAGGATAATGCTTGGCTAACGTGAGTCTAATGACGAGGAATCTAAAGCGAAAGCTTTAGGTGGCTACTTCACCAATGAACTTGGACGCCTCACGATACCCCACCAATGAACTTACAACTCACGACACCGCCCCATTGAATGAACTCAAGCGGTTCACAAAACGCGAAAAGTGGTCGTAGCCGACAACACAGACGATGCAAAAGTTCACATGATCAGAGATTGCGGCGTGATGACGCCATGTGACGTCATTAACGTTATATGACGTTATCTGGTTTCATGACGTCAGACACCGGAGCCGTGCGATGACGACATTGTGTCACATAATCATTAACGTTATACGACGTTAAATGATTTCATGACGTGAGACAATGGAGCCGTGTGATGACGACATTGTGTCACGTCATCGTGACTTCGTCGAGCCACGACGTCACACAACGACGTAATCACGCGACAGCGTCGATTGGTCAAACGTGGCGGCGGTTCTTCGAAACTGCATGAGGTATACAGAAAGCTGCGACGCCATAAAATACTAAGAACCGCGACGCCTGCCATTCTGGCTGCGCCACAGAGCCAAGTTGCACGACGAAAGCTTTCGTGGGGAAGAGAGGATCGATACGAACGACTGGGACGACGAAAAAGAAGCAAAAAGGAAAAAAAGATGGCTTTAGCCTTCCCGTCGTCTTATAACCGATAGATAAGGCACCCCGGTGAGTTGTTTTGTTTCCTTCTTTCTTGGTTCGTTTATTTCTTTCTACATAGCACTACGCCGTCAGCGCTGCAGCTGGATTGAGTGCATGGCTTATCAGAAGTAAATATACACAGCAAAATAGTATATCGAGATAACGAACAAAATAAAAAAGAAGAAGAAACAAATGGAATTGACCACCGGACGAGGATGTGAACGATTCTACACACCTTTTTTTGGCTGGCGAATGCAAAAGTTCAGGAGTGCGCACGAAACGCGTAGAAGCAAGTAACGAATTCCCGTCTTGCATGAAACGAGGAGACGAGCTGAAAATTTAACCGCGCTACGCAGTGCTTTGTCAAAAATTGACGAAGCACTGACATGCATCGTCCGATAGGCGACTTGTGCAAAGTTCGCGTTCGCACCCGTTTGCGCATTTCGACGCATGCGCAGGAGCATCTTGCCACGCGCTGCGAGTGTAGACCAATATTTAGCAGTATGGCGATGCCACGTAAGTCTTTTTTTTTTAACGAAATATACTTCCTTAGTGCGCAGGAAATTTTTTCAGAAGAGAGATAGAGCCGAGAGACAGGACAGAGCGCACTCTGTCCGCTCTCTGTCCTATATCTCTCGGCTTTATCTTCTTCCTGAAAACGTTCCCTGCGCGCTAAGGAAGTTTATTTCTTTCAAAAAATGCAATACCAACCAGGCCAAGTAGCCACTCTTTTGCACGTAAGTCTAGCAACCAAAAACCCTTCGACACGTGTGCGATAAGCACACCATTTTTTTTTTCTTTTCTATTGTAGTTCTGAGACGCAAGAGATTTATAGCCAGTCACAGATAGGCTCGGGTGTCGATGGACTTGAGAAAGCTGCTTGAATTGCGCATGCTACGTATGTCTCAAGTTTCTCGCCTTTCATTATTTTCCCCCTTTTATTTTCTTTTTGTACAGTACGCCCACTTTGGTCAAGTCATTTAGTTATTTCTTGCAATGCAAACTGTCTATTCTATTTTACCTACCAAAATGGTCCCCGCCGCCTCTCTGGGGTCTGTTGACAAGTGCGAAAATGGACCCATTGCACACGTACGTACAGGCATTCAAGTACAACGGCCGCTGGATGAAACGGAGGGGTGGTAGCTATGCTTAATGCTCTGCCCCTGCAATGTGTACTTGCACGGTCGCTGGATGAAACCGTGTGCTTTTTTCATCCAGCGGCCGTGCAAGCACACATTGGAGGGGCGGAGAATTAAGCACAGAGCACCACCCCACCCTACTACATTAGGCGCCCGAGAAAAAGACGCCGTTCTTATGTTTAAAAATATAAAAAGTACGAGCTAAAAGTCCCACTTTAACTTCGATGTTGTGATTGCGGCTTTTAATTTTGGATAATACGAACGTGCTCAGAGGGCCCGAAAAGTTGGGACATCAAACTTTTTTTTTTTTCTCAGAGCTGCTAAATTTCCCATCTCGGGTGCTTGCGGGGGGGGGGGGGGGGCGATATTTGGGCCCAATTTTACCTTGTTGCGCTATACCGTGGCAGGCTATCAATACGCAAAGAAGTGGAAAGGTTGGCAAGTTTATACGAAGAACATGTTTCTGATTCTTATTTAGGGACAACTTACTTGCTCTCCCATAGTTGAGTACCAAGTACTCAAAATCGTGAAACATGTTTTTCTAAACACACAAATCGGTGCTCCGTTGAAGCTGCGCGGGGGGTTTCTAGCAGTAATTTTTGTCGACGCTGGCCTCATCAAGTGTGAACCCCACGGGACGGCTTTATGCTTTCCCATGGTAGAGTACCAAGTACTCAAAACCATTAACCACTTTTTTTCTAAACCTACGAATCAGTGCCGTTAATCCAGAGAATCACAAATGGGGACAAACTTTCTTGCCGTGTCGGGCATTTTGTTTTTATAAATACTTGTTTTATTTTCACTCATATAAAATTTAAAATCGTCCCTCGAAATCAAGTGAAAAACGAACATGGGTCATTTACTCACGTGATTGCATTGTTCTCCTGTCTGAAACCGATCGAGCGGCACTTGCGAGTTCAGTAATCTCACACTGCTGAGAGGCATCGAACACCACTACGCGCTCAATTATATAGAAGACATTAGAAATATTGGACGCGCTATACTTAACGTGTCAAGCTATTCCGAAATACTGATGTGTGAAGTACAAATTTTCAAGAGTGGTCTCTTGCGGGGATTGTCGCCCCATCCTGAGCACATAAAGGGGTAGCCCCCCCCCCCCCCTAATTTCGTCATTGGTACTAATTCACGATGTTTAGCAGCACCAATGACAAGGGACACTTGAAAAAGAAAACTCTCGGGGTTTGTAATGTAACCGCCTCAGTTCACGCGATCAAAGGAGACACCCATCTCCTTTTTCTTCGAAGTCCACGTACTGAACTTCCCGCTGCCCTTCTCAAAGCTTTCCGCAGCTGGCGTATTTTTTTTGCAATGGCTTCAGGACCACTCATCGTTACGAGAAGAGCACCCACTTACGATGGAGGTGAAGAGAGAACGTGACGCAAAAGTTGAGGGTGAGCGCTTATTGTGTCGGCTTCTTCAGTCTGTTTCAGTCGTCAGTGCATGCGCGCCCTTCGGCAACGATCAATCCATGCAAACTCGCCCACAAGCTTTTCTGCTTTGTAAGACGCAATCTATGCGTATGCACCTCACCTTGTTTTGCACTGCATTCGTGATATGACTACATTTGACGAAGAAATGACGTCATGTGATGACGTCATCCAATGGTGTGTCAGTGGCATGATGACGTCATCACGTGATGGTATTTTATTTTTTTCTAATCGCTGGTCCTGACGCCGCTAACGAAGGCCGTCGACGCGCGCCACAGGTCAATTTTTGCGCTTCGTGAGGCATCCAAGACCTAATCACCGCGTTACAAGTTGCGAGCCAACGCATGTCCTTTCTTTTCAACGTGGCTCTTGTAACTTAGAAGTATGGCAGCTTGGGCTAGTTGGTATGACATGATGATAGTTATAGCGCAAGAACAGAACGACGACAAAGAGACAAGAAGGACAGCGCTCGTGTCCTTCGTCTCCTTCTCGTCTCTTTGTCGTCGTTCCGTTCTCGCGCTATAACTATCGTCGTGTCTCTTGTGTCTGGAAATGCGAAGTAAATGGTGTGAAGAAGCACCTGGCATGTGTGCGGCTTCTTGTCCATGTGCAAGAGCATGTGCGTGCGCAGGTTGCTGGCGGAGGCGAACGACTTTGAGCACACGTAGCAGTGGTGCATCCCGGTCGATGTTGAAGCGGCGACGACGGCTGTGCGCTGGCGATGACGTAACAACGGCTGCGCAACCACCGCCGGTGGCGCCACCTGTTGACCGTACGGAACACCGGTGGCCATGGCGGCGGCAGCGTGAACCTGGGCGCGAAATCCAATTCAGCCAGCATATTTGCATAGCGCGAGAAAACTAGTAGTTACTACAGCATAACTGATCGAGTTACCTTTCCAAGCATTAGCGTTGCCAGAAATAAATATATTTTCCGAAGTTGCTGGGTGTTCTACCATATTCGTGCATGTTCGTGCCTGCGTTTGTATGTGTGCATGTTTATTATACACACATGCCCAATTGAAAAAAAAAAATGTTGGGAAAGGGCGAAGTTGGTTGAACCCCGGGCTGCGCCAGTGCTCTTGGGGTCTGTTTTTCCCACAACAATGATCATCGTCCCTCTTGTGCGCCATGATCACCGCATTCTTTCATGTCACGAGCAGCAAACAGCGCGAGAAAGCATATCGTGCTCGGGGAGCCCCGAGTTTGCAAGGAGAGAGCGAAACAACTTCATTCACGGCACAATCCAGTTCTACAACGAGAACCACCAGGGGGTCTAAGTGTGGGGGCCAGTTGCTTTCCACGACCGCTTCGGCGCAGTTGGGATCGCTTCTGCATGAATACGGTGGTCATTTGGTTACAGGAGCGACTCCCACGCCTCGACGAAGGAAGCTGGCATTATTTCAAGAAAGGAAACGCAAGCTAGTCTGATTACGGTGGTTGTTGTCGGATAAAAGGAGACGCTTTATTTGCATTCTGCTTTTCTTCCTTTCTATCTTTAATTCTTTCTTTGTTTCTTTCTACCTTTTCTTTCTTTCTATCTTTCTTTCTTTCTTTTTTTCTTCCTTTCTTTCGTGGGGAGGGGTGTGATGAAGTGGACTTTTAGCTCCGACGCTTGCGAAGGGATAGAGTATGTGCCTGTAGGGGTGTGGATGAGGCGGTGGTTTGGTCAGCAACAAGGAAAGTTGCAGTGACGAATGTAAACGCGTCTATTACAGCGGATGTCATTATCCTAAAAGTATCACCACATACATTTTTTTTTTCCCGCTCAGCTTCATGAAAATTCACGGTCATTCATGCATCGATCGTTGTGGAAGAGGAGGTCCCTCCGGGAGAGTACGTGATATATATATTCTCTCGCCTTCATGTGTTCCTCGGCTTCGCGTTGGCTGAGGAACAGCCGACAGCAGACGGGGCACTGAAGCGTGGTCAGCGCGGGCAGCAGGTGGTTCAGCAGCTCCTGCTGATCGCGTCCAGCCTTCTATTTATCCGGGCCGTGGGGTGGTTCGAGGCCGTCACCTAGCAGCTGCCTGCCGAGCATCGAAGCCGTGGCGCTGCCGTCGCACCCGTCGAAGCGTGCGGCGGCGGGAAGACGGCCAACGCTTCGCGTCGGCTGATGCGGGTGGCTGGCGGGCAGAGACGGTGTCGGAGGAGCTTCGGGGACACCAGCGGCGAAAGCCGCGTTGCGATAGGGTAGTCGATCATCCATGCCTGCGCGGTCGAGAAATATTTTAAGGGACACCGAAGCGAAACAACGAACCGGTTTAGACTCCTGAACTTGTACTCGAGTAGTTAGAACTCTAATATCTTTAATTTTTACCGTTGTAGGTTTATTAATAGGGGTGAAAATCGAGGTCATTGTTTCATGTTCGAATTTCGCGCCAAATCTCCAGATTTCGAAACAAATCTTTCGCATATGGGGCGATGTCAGCGCAACGAAATTTCCTGAAACTTGGTATGTTAACTTGTCGACTTCCTGAGAGTGCGATGTACTTCCTTTTTTTACAGACGCCGTGCGGTACTTTCAAGATGGCGTCGCCAGTGCACTTCTTTTTTGTGCCTTTTCTTACAAACAAAGCCTCTTCATGCCGCAAGCAATTGCGATTTTGGAATCGTGAAAGATTAATTACTATGAGCAGTGGTGTAAATCATCGGGGTTCAAATATGATCATTTTTTGCTCAGTATGCCATTGCGAAAAAATATTTTTGTAGGGGGGGGGGGGCACCATTGCGTAAGGGTTGAACGAGGGGTTGACACACCCTTTGCAAATGTGGACCCTTGAAAAATTTGCCTTTCAAAAGACATATTTGAATATCTTCACACTTAAAGAGAGCGAACTATCCATTAATATTGACTGCTCTAAAATCTGAAACAATTTCAATGAAGAGAAATGAAGTGTTTAGAAAAAGTGTTTAACGACTTAGAGTACTTGGTACTTTACTATGGGAGAGCGGAAAGCTGTCCCAGCCGCAGCACTTGCTGCGGTCGCATATCATGAGACGAAAACAGTAAAAAAACGTGCAAAAGTGTAAGCGTTTAGAAAAAGTGTTTAACAATTTCAACTATGGGAGAGCATTGAGCCGTCCCGATTAGGTAAGTTACCGGCCCAGACTGTGTGTTTAAAAAAATTGTTAACGATTTACAGCACGAGGTACTCTACTATGGGAAAGCATATCTAAGCCGTCCCGTGAGTCTCACACTTGATGAGGCCATGGCAACAAAATATTTTCCGTGTTTAGAAAAAAAAATGTCCAATTTTTAGAGTACTTTGTACTGTACTGTGAGAGAGCAGAAAGTCTCTTAGTGAAGTGACGCCTGCGAAGTCGTCTCAAAATGCACGAGCATTGTACGGAACGCTACGGGTTGCTTCTGACGTACCGCAAATGTTCATTACGCGCTTGTTAGTTATACTGGTTGTAGAACTTGTGCCTTGAGATAAAAGACAAACGCTCCTGTCTATCATATAGAGTCGAGGTGTTTTTATATGTGACAGCAAAAGAACGCATCTGTTTTCTATTTAATGATGTGCATCGGACTCATTACTCGAAGGTCGCAGGTACGATCCCTTCCGGATGCAAGCTATCTTTTCGTCCTCTTTTCTTTCTTCACATATACATTGTAATTACTGCTAATCACATCCCCTATACTTACCTTGGCCTCATTGTCCGTCGGTTCTCATCAGTACCGTAAAGAGGCTTTAAAGTTCGTGACGTCACACTGACAACCACGTGCCTAAGTTTCGGCGCGGCATTCAGAAATGAAACCTTGACCTTCATCTTCTCTTAGAATAAATAACCCATGATGGCGAAATCAGTGAAAACGTTGTTCTGAAAGAAGGATTTGTCTATCAAAACTGATTTAACGGTACACCTCTTGTCCCTTAAGGAGGCGTCAGCCGCGGGGGTGCACTCCCGCATCAGCCGTGCAACATGTCTGCTGGATCTTTTTTTAGACATGGAGCTGTATTCTTGAGACGACCACTTAATTTCTTACACGTCGTTCCGTGTCAACTGATTGGCTGGCTGAGGCAAGGCGGGCAAATATAGTGACCTCAGTCAATGGACTCGTGACATTTTATCCCGCAAAGCCACGCTGGCGCTGAAACCATAAGCGTGCGCACGGGCGGGGGGGGGGGGGGAATCACAAAATCAGCCCCTCATATTTACCTCGCCCTCCCCCCCCCCCCCCTCCCGCTGAAGGGGAGCTCCGCGCAGGCCTACGGCTGAAAGTGATCATATCAGAATACGGACCACATGCATGGTGTACAAGTCGTAGTGAACCTTGCTTTGATAATGTTCTTAAATTTTGATCCCAACAACGACGAACTTATTTTAGTCACTCAAAGCACAATGATCTCCTCCCCCCTCCCTCGATCTCTGCCACCACGATAACGCTAGGCAAATGAGAGAAAGTTGGGTCTCGCTTGCTGCATTCCGTGCCGACCGGTTGTGCCCTCGCGATCTCCGACGTCAGCGTAGCTCTGGCCGACTGGGCTCGCCCTACGTCATCTCCTGACGCCGACCTCCGACGACAGCATAGCTCTGACCTACTAGACTTGCCCTACACCATCTCCTGACGCCGACAAGAGCTCTCGCAAGTGGTGCCCCGTCCTCGGGCTCCTGTGACCGTGTTTCCATCTTTCCTATCTCCCCTATCCCCTCTATATGTCCTCGCTCGCTGGCTTAGCGCATCCTTTTTCTCTCTCTCTCTACCTTTATTCCTATTCTTTGAATCCCTCCTCACCCCCATCCCTTGTGAGCTACTGTTGAGGTGTCGCACCGTGATGCAGACATTTACGGGGCTCCCTTTTAAGTTCCTCTCTCTCTTAGAACCACTTTGAGAGAAAGTTATTACGATTATTACGGCGCAAGCTAAAGACACTCAAAATGCAAGATTTTACGCTCTTATACAAACGGGAGTATTTGAGGCATATTTCTGTCATGCATTTGCTACCGGGCTTTGAGAACTGTGCCCGCATCACAACCCGATCGAGAGTGCTATGTCGCGCCGATATCCGCTTGCACTTTGTTACCGGTAAACACAGTGCGCCCAACGATTGCCCCAGTAAACCTCGTCGGATAGGTAATTGTTTTTGCGCGGATGTGAATGACACCCAAAGACGCCTTTTTTTTCCCCGCTGTATACAGTGAAAAAGGTGTCGTTTGCACTGCACTTTGTTCTTGGAGTGTTGGAGGAGGCGCGAGCAACTTCGTTATACATGGTTGCAGAACTTGTGCTTTGGGATAAAAAAACAAACAAACGTTCCTGTCTATCATGCAGACTTGAGTTGTTCTCTTATATGTCAGAAAAACGGCGCACCTGTTCTCATGCCTTTCTTGAGCGGAGAACAAAGGATCTGCACCGTACCACGGGGAGCTTTGCAAACCGAGCAAAAATACGGATCTCTTCGATTCAGAGAGACGCGAAGGTTCGCGCTTATCAGACAGGCACCTACCGTGCTCGTTTTGGAACAGTTCGAAGACGCGCACGCAACTGACGAAACGAAACGAGATTGATTGATTGATATGTGGGGTTTAACGTCCCAAAACCACTATATGATTATGAGAGACGCCGTAGTGGAGGGCTCCGGAAATTTAGACCACCTGGGGTTCTTTAACGTGCACCCAAATCTGAGCACACGGGCCTACAACATTTCCGCCTCCATCGGAAATGCAGCCGCCGCAGCAGGGATTCGAACCCGCGCCCTGCGGGTCAGCAGCCGAGTACCTTAGCCACTAGAGAAACGAAACGAGGTGATATCAGACAAACGGAGCATCTATGATGTCTAAAGAACAAGAAGGTTCACCGACGGTGCAGCTACGGGACGAAACAAGATTTCGAATATTCGCGAGAGTAGACGGTATAAGTACGAGCGACGACTATCGCTGCGGTGGGTAGTGCCACCGCTATCGCTGCGGCGCTACCCACCGAAGCGATAGCGGTGGGTAGCGCGCCGTTGCTGCCGACCGCCATCGCCAGTGCGAGATAGACGGCGAACGTTGTAATGTTGATGTTGCTTACCGTCCGCTTACGGGATGCCTGTGCTCTCGGTCCCCCGAAGAATCAGAAGGAGGAGAAGAAAACGACGCACGTGTCACGCTTGATGACGCGCGCACCTCTTCAGTCTTTTCGTCGTAACCACGTGCGTCAGAAATCGACCTAAAATATCTCGCCCACTTGATCGCGAAGATAATTATCAAACTGCGTTCTAACGAGTTCGTAGTATCGGAGGTACTATCACACGCGTCAAAACCGTTATGTCTACCAAATTTCGTTCGTTTGACTTGGACGCTAGTGAAGCATCTGCGGTAGGCTTGATGGTTGCATCTCGGTGTTGATCCCAGTAAAACACTTACAGAAAGTGTTATGTCCATTTTGGCTACTGAAAGGTAGGGAAAAAAAGACAGAACACTGAAAGAAAACGGTGCTCTGTGCGTGACGTCACAGTCTTGGCCATTAATAGGCCAGAGTGGGTGTGTGCCATATAGTGTGTTGGGATACAAAGAAAGGTGTCAGTAGCCACGTGCCACAAACAACGAGGCGCATGCCATCGTAGCAATGGAGTGCAACGTGCGTTGCGATTGCAGCTCCGAAAGTAGGAAAGAGGAGAAATGTTTCATTGATAATTCAATCATAAAAGTGTCTGCCAAAAGAAAATGTTACTGTTACCAAAAACTAAAGCAACTCTGTCGCAAGGTCTGAGAGTGGCACTCTCACTGGCTGTGCTGGTGAGTTTGGGATTAAGGGTGAACCACCTTCCTCTTTTCCTCTCATCATCTCCCGCTCCCCTCCCAAAACCTTCTGTAGCTAACGTCAGTGCATGGCCATCGGCAAGATGTTTCGTGGGTGCAAACCCGTATCGCATTGCTGGTGGGAAAGGGGCTGTGCGTTGGTTTAGCTTAGTGGGGGATGGGGGTAGTGCCCTCCTTGCACCCCCCCCCCCTCTGACGTCCATGCGAGAGCAGTGGAACAATGGGCCCGTGCACCTCCCACAACCCCCGATTTTTTTTTTTCATGAATTACCGTGCACAAAATGACACTTGATCATATTTTTCTGCCCGGCTACCAATGGCTCCAGGATCGAAAGCATTTCAAGTTTTCTGCACCTTACTTGCTATCGCATTGTTTCGGGATAGGCACACCTTTGACCGCGCGATCATTTAGTGTGATAACGCAGTCAAGCGTTGTGAAGATGATGTCGTGGTGACCCCATAAATGTTTGCCGTAAGGCGTCATGATGACGTCATCGAGCCATGATCTCTCGCCGCGTGATTTTTTAAATTGTTTGTGATGATGTATTTCTCATTTGTGTCGAGAGTTCTGAAAGCTTCGCGATGTCAGAATGACGTTGCGGAAGAAAAGCCGGAAAGAGGCGGCGCGCTGCTCCCCAGCTACAGCCAATCAATGAAGGCCGAATCGAACTTGTCCACCAATCGGACACCACGAGAATAGTTCCCCGTGTGATTGGTAGGCTGATGATGTTCACGTTATCCGTCCGGACCTCCTCGTTCGTTTAATCGCAAAAACTCAGATTAGTCTGACAGCTAGGCAGGCGTAATTATGCATGGAATGAACCGCGAAGTGCTTTATCAACCCCTTTTATCTGCAAGCATGCTATCTGGGTCTCTGTTCTGCAAAATGAATTGTGCAAGCTCATGCTACGCAGGGGCAGCTTGATTTATGGTAATAATGTATAGAAATGTGTTGGATGCGTTATAAACTCACAAATACATTTAGTTTCAATAGTGATATGCGACTATGTTTACTCAAAAACTGCAGAGTGTTTTTCAACGCAAATTCAAATTACGCGCCTTGTGCACTTCGTTTGATGGTGACGTCCTGCTGGTGGCGTCATCGTAAAAGCGACCACCGCTCTCCCATTGCTTTCCTGCGAAGACGGCACACTGCTCCATTCTAGTACACCATAATTATACTCCTTCGGGAAGACTTTTTTCCAGCCCCTTGCAACATACGCCGCTTCGAAACAGAACACCAAAATCATTAAAGTGACGAAATATCATGGCCGCCGATGGCACGGAAGAAGAGACCCGTTCGTAAATTAAGGAAATACAAGACGAAAAACGTGTTTGTCCAGTAGTGCACACGCCGGCCAAATCTCTCTCTTCTACTGGGACCTTGCTTGCAGTTATCGCCCGAGAAAAAAAAATGCACAAAACGGCAATATCTGGAATCTTTAACTATCCAGACAACGAGGAACACGCTTAACCACAACGCCGGCAATCCACCGCTGACGTATGCAAGATGCCTCAAGCGATTATTTTAGCGGATTTAAGCTGGAAGCTTCGGGCTCTGAGCTTAGTGAACAAGGCTTCTGTGTGGAAGCCGAAATGTCTTTTACCCTCTTGGTCGGCGTCCTGTCTTTTTATTCTAACAAAGTTTTCTCTTTTTGTCAGGTAGGTGTTAAGAAGCGTGTTTGGCTACTTTGATCAGCGACAGCTTGCAAGAAACAATACGAAACAACATTCTTTTTGAAGCAGGTATAGTTTTGACCACTCACGTGAGCAGGTATGATTGAAACTGAACCTTAATTAATTGTAACATCCCTTTTTAAACGCGACGTAGCTCTCCTAGCTACTGTATCCGGGTCAGTGAACTAAAAGTTCCAAAAACACAATAATGAGTCTATTGCAAATCTAAAAAGTGGCAGATCCCACGTACAGTGGGAATCGATTATATGCGAAGCATGAGTGAGGAAGAATGATAGGTCACTTAAAGATAAGCACAACGTTGAGAGGCGGAGGTAAATTATGCCGTACATGACTGCCATGTCATGATTATCATGTTTGGACGTTTCATATACCTTCGTCATCTATTAACGTCACCTGATACCAACGTTGGTATATATGGAGCTTGCGAAACGGCCGCAAGCGTGCTATGAGCGTAGCATGTAGTCATGTTTTACATGAAATCCATATCATGATTATCATATTTGGACGTGTCATTTACATTCATTGTCCATTCACGTCACGTAGTACCAAATTTGGTAAATGTGGAACTAGTGAAACGGCCGCGAGAAAGCTATGAGCGTAGAATGTAGTCGTGTTTTACATGAAATACATATTATGATTATCAGGTTTGGACGTGTAATTTGCCTTCGTCGTCTATTCACTCCCCGTCATACCAAATTTGGTACATGTGGAGCAAGCGCAACGGCGGCGGGTGCGTTGATTGATTGGTATGTGGGGCTTAACGCCCCAAAACCACCATTTGATTATGAGAGACGCCGTAGTGGAGTGAGTGAGTAACAACTTTATTGAACATGTCCGGCGTCATTGACCGTAGTGGAGGACTCCGGAAATTTCGAGCACCTGAGGTTATTTAACGTGTACCCAAATCTGAGCACACGGGCCTACAACATTTCCGCCTCCACCGGAATTGCAGCCGCCGCAGCCGGGATTCGAACCCGCGACCTGCGGGTCAGCAGCCGAGTACCTTAGCCACTAGACCACCGCGGCGGGGCGGTGGCGAGCGCGTCATGAAAGGCCCAATATACTCCGACGCACGCGCCGACGACGTTACTTAGAACCGCGCCTGCCTCTCTTCGTGACGGAGGAACACCTTGTGCGCCCAAACGCGCATGCGTCAAAGCAACGCAGCGCGGCAATAGCCTGTGAGTATATGTCATGCAGATCCACTGAGTTCCTACATGACACGCATCTCATGATTATCAAGTTTGCACTAGTCAGATACCTTCGTCATCCATTCACGTAGCGTAATGCCAAATTTTGGCATATGCGAAGGTAGCGAAACGGCCGCGAACGCTTCATGAGTGTGGGACGTAGTCATGTTGTTACATGACACGCATGTCATGATCCTCATGTTTGGATGTGTCATTTACCTATGTCGTCCCTTCACGTCACGTAATACCGAGTTTGGTACATGCGAAGCTAGCGAAACGGCCGCGAGCGCATCATCAGCGTAGCCTGTAGTCAAGTTTGTACATGACACGCATCTCATGATTATCAAGTTCGCACCAGTCACCCATTCACGTCCCGTAATACCAAATTCGGTATTTGCAAAGCTGGTGAGACGGCCGCGAGCACATCATGAGTTAGGCATGTAGTCATGTTGTTACATGACACGCATATCATGATTTTGATGTTAGGGTGTGTCGCTTGTGTTCGCCATGCAGTCGTGTCATACCATACCAGTTTAGCAACATATCATGTGAATGAAACCACTGCAAGATCAGCAAGACCATGTCATTTAAATGATGACATTTATGACATACATATATTGATTTTCATGGTATGACTAGTCAGTTGTGTTCTTCATACAGTCATGTTATATCATGCCAAGTTTGGTATCGATACCATTATCCAAACGGCCAGGAGAGCTAAAAGTCGTAGGTGGCTAGATAGATAGATAGATAGATAGATAGATAGATAGATAGATAGATAGATAGATAGATAGATAGATAGATAGATAGATAGATAGATAGATAGATAGATAGATAGATAGATAGATAGATAGATACGCTCAAAGTTGCCGAAGTTCGCCAAGAAATGCTTCGCATTTAAAAAAGGATATTTTTTGTGTGCATGGAGTGTCCTTAAACGAGATCTTAGGGGGAAAGTCGATGCGACCACTTGTTGCGAGATATCACAAAAACGAAAGCGAAATCGCTTAAACCTCAAAACTAGAGTACTCAAAAGCATGACTCAAAACATGACTCATAAGCTCAAAACAACAAAAGTCACGCGGCCAACACGACCATGATTTTTTTTGTGCTACCACTGCTACCATCTGTCGGAGATCACGCGCGCTCCATCACGTTGTGGAGTGCGGCTAGTGCGGTGGATGTAGCGAGTTTTGCGTGTGCTGTGCGGAAAAGCGGCGGCAAAGTTCAACGAAATGGGCACGGAACGGCTGTTGACAGTCGTGTTGGTGTTTACGTGCATCGCGATCGAAATATCGGCCGATTCGTATGTGACAGAGCCTTCGCTGGGCGTCTCGTTTGAATTCAAGCTACATGTGGACGCCGGTAAAGAGGAGTGTTTTTATCAGAACGTTGAGGCCGGATCGTCGGTCTACGTGGCCTACCAGGTAAGTTCCGAACACTGGCCCTGTTTTTTTGATGACGATTGCCCGCCTACTGCTTGTCAAAGCGCGCAACCCAGATGAAAGGCTGTGCTTGTACGTACTATATACTCGATCGCTTGCCGAGTTGCATGCGTTGTGCTGTCTTGAGAACCGTACGCCGAACGAACATATATTTCACTCGAGTGAGCCAGCGAAACGGCGAAACCGGATTTGCCGTAATCCTGTGCACTGAACCATGTGCGTGACTTTGTGAGGCTTCGTTCGATAAAACACGTGTCTTTCAGATCGCACGAATTAGTAGCGTCGATTTCTTACTAAATGCGTCAGTATTTCGATGTGCCCAAACGTACCGTATGTTTACTATAGCTGAGGCGCAGCAAAAAAAAACTTCGCGTCAGAAAGCGTCTACTACGGTTCACTGAACACGCTCCGGACAGCTTTTAGCGGTTTTAGTTTTTGCTGACTAGCTTCTTCGGCTAAATGGTGTCGCCGCGCCGATTTACATATTTTTTTTTTTCGCTTATTGCCGCGGCGACTTGTGGCTGTTTGCTTGATTAAGTGTCCTCCCTCTGGGCTGGCGATCGTGTTCTGTTGCCGGTTTCACCGTTTTTAACACATGTCAATGTAGGCGATAGAAGGAAAAAAAAAAGCGAGAGAGAATGTATCGCGGTGTACTTACTGTCCACAGCAGTCACGATATTTACCTTCCTTGTGAAGTAAACAAGAAGTAAACAAGAACAAGTGAAGTCTTTCACACGTTTAGTAACGTCACGTCACTTCGTGTCATATAAAATCAAACACGACATACAAAACAAAAAAAAATGGGGGGGGGGGGAGGCAGGATCGCAAAATCAAACCCAGTCCACATAGGATTTTCGGTACAACAAATTACAAATTAAATTGGGTTTGTGGTTTTGAAAAAAAAAAATTCTTGTCCTGCAGGTTTTAAGAGGTGGTGATGGTCAAGCCGGATTCGCAGTAAGGCATCCCAATGGCAATCATGTCCTACCATACCAATGGAGGCCTTCTGCTGAATACGAAGAATCAACTTCAACTGGAGGTAGCAATGTGGTTTTTCTATTTTACAGCAGAGAACTATCTGAATGATAAAGTACTGGTCAGTGCAACTTCAGTCGGTACTGTGTGCATCTGTTCACTTCATTATGTGCTTCACGTTGCATATTATGTTTGCTTTCTTGTACTGCAATTTAATCTGGCAATATTGTTGATAAAAGGTCGCAAAAATGAATTTGAGAACTACAGTTTTTATGCAGACAGTAACATCTACTTTTTAACTTTACGAAGGCTGCAGGTGACATGAATGGCAGGGATGAGCTGGAGACCATTTAATTTACGCAAATTCTGGAGAGTGTCGTGAAGTTTAAGATCATGCAAATTTTTTCACGTAGTGATACGGACAATGTGCTAGTAACTGGTAATTGATTTTTGCCATCCAGTTCTCCTGGCTATGCCTGGGCCCTTACATTCAGTGCATTTGACTTGATTGGCTGGGCCAGCATGGGATTCTGCAAGAAAAGTGGGACCAGTAAAGCTACCTTTATGGAGCGTTTACCCTGCTACCTCGCTTGCTTTGTGTATATTACTCACTGGTGGTGATGTGGGCATGTCTGAAATTCAGCCTCTCGCTGGCTGACACAACATATTTGGTTAACAAAACACGTTGTGGTGCTAGTCATGAGGACAAGACATCCTGTCATGTACCTCTCTGTTTTGACCTAATCAGATGTATGCTAAAATATATTACCCAAAAACCGTCTTGGTGTTACATGCTAAGTGGGGTCAATTACCTTTCAGTTTGGGTGCGCAGGATAGTGAAGTGTGCCACTGAACTGCACAGCAAGGGCTGTTTGACTGTGTTGAAGATTTTAAGGAGTATACATGTGTGTTACTAAATTTATATCGAAGGAATCTGCCCCCGAGACAAAACATGCTTTGCAAGTCTTTTACTCTGGCTGTAGCTAATGAGAATCATAGCAGGGATTCAGAAGGAATCTTTACCTTGGGCATTTCTACGCTAGCACATGTTAAGGGAGCAATTGTTTTCTTTAATTGCAAAGTTTCTTTTAGTTATAATTTGTTTGATTGCATTAACAAGTGTCGTGATTGTGCATCGTTGCTTTGCAGGATTCTACGAGCTGTGCATAGACAACTCCATGTCCCACTTTGCGGCCAAGCTTATCAGCCTCTATTTCAATTCATTCAAGAGGGACAAGTGGGAATCATACGTGCAGGAACTCGAGTCACTCGGAGTCACAGTGTCCAACTTCACTGTGAGTTTGCACTTCTAGATGGTGTCTGTAATTGGTGCAGCACAGATTATTCGTTTGGTGTACACATATCACTACTGAAAACTGTAGCTATATCATTTTACTGGTGCTTAAAATGGCAGAGTAAACTCGCCCTTTAATATTGATGTTGGTACTTTTTTTAAGTCTAACGAATGGCCTTGAATGAAGTGTTCTTGGTTTTTTACCTAGGACCAAGGGCATATGCAGAAACGTTTTTTTTTTTTTTGGGGGGGGGGGGGGCACCTCTTTGATCTGAAGTAGTGGCCAGTAGACAAATGGTCATTTTGTGCTCTGTATGCCAATTTCGGGGGAGGGGGCACAGGCCCCGCGTGCGACCCTCTGGCTATGCCATTCCCAAGGCCACCTAGTGTAGAGCAAGTATCTTTGAGGTTCAGAGGTCGGACATTCGTCTCAACAGATCACTCGCCGTTCTCCGCAGGAAACACTGCAGAAAGTAGACGGCCAGGTGGGCGAGATGCTGAAGTACCAGGACCAGAACAGGAGGCACCTCTCACGAGACTGGTACATCGTGGACGGCAACAACCGCTACGTCCAGTACTGGTCTCTTGCCCAGTGCATCGTTATTGTGGCCACTTCGGCGCTACAGGTGTACTTCGTGCGCAAGCTCTTCCAGGTGAAGAATGTCACGCCAACGCTCAAGCCGCGGGCGTGAGCCCGCCCACTGTTGATCCTCCGATGCATTACGCACAGTTTGTGACATGATGTGACCCCCACCTCTCATTGGGGTCAAAGGGTAGTTCCACGTGGTTCTTTCCGTTGCTGGCATTGTACAGAGGAGGAAGCTTTCTTTCTTTCTTTTTGCTCAAAGAGGGTTACTCATCTACCTTTGCTACGTTACTGCTGTGTGCATCTCGAAACAAGCAAAGGGACTTCTGGAGGTGGTTTAGGGTGGAGAGCTTCATCTTCCCACTTCTTCCTGTCGTTTATATATAAAACATCGCACAGCCTCCCACTCAACTAAGCCAAAAAATAGTGAATTGTGTACCCATGTGTATGCAGACTTTGGCTTGTCCTGTCTCTGCTGTTTTTTTAGTCCCGTCCCGTGTTGACCAACCTGCATAGCTGCAAATTTATGCCAAGTTCCCTAGAGCAAGCAACATCGGTGAAAAATCGACGGATCACGTCTTGCTTCGGCAGGTATCAGTTTCTTCCTTTCACACGTGTACAATGAGGAACGCCGATCTACCCTCTACCCTGCACTTGTGCATGTTGCTCTGTTTGAACCAGTGGTCCTGCCATTTTGACATCTAAAACAAGGGAACTACCCTGATTTTCGATTGAGTGCTGCTTTGCAGTGACATGCACCGTAGGATGAAAGACTCCACCAGTCAAGTGCCTTTGAGTGGGCACTGAAAGTGGCTTAAAACAAATTTATAGCCATGAAATTTCTGAAAATCATTAGTAATATGCAGAGACACTATCATGGACCCTTGGCAATAGAGACATGGCAGCATGTAGTTTAATGGAGTGGTAGGTGTTGTGGTTTTAGCACATAGGTGCAGATAAAGAGGCCAGTGAGGCCAGGCCTGGAACTTTGCTTTTAGAGCACATATTGGCCAGTGTACACAACATGAAATTTCAGCAACATTGATTTAAAAACAATAAATTATGGACGATTGCGCATTCTCATGAGCTATATAATGCTAGTTTCTATATAAATATGGTGAATAGTTCTTAATATCTCGTGAGGTGACTTCAGTTGGCTTGGTTGCCTGGTTTGTTGCAGGTCTATACTTCATAAGTGATTATGGTGTAGGTTTACTCTTCAAAAGAGCAAGAAAGCATGCAAGAAAGCGTGCAAGAAAGCTTCTAGAATACTTTTTACTAAAGAAAGTGTAAAGCTTTTTGACGTGTCGTTCTAAATGTTCAATGTCACCCACGCATGTTATTGGAGCTGCGTTTGTTTCATATCTGTGAAAAAAATTGATTAGAAATTGAAAACAACACGAGTTTCATGTTCAAATTGAAACAACAACACTGCTGAAGTTTCTGAGTGAAAATCTGGGTTAAACAGTGGCAACTCTGCAGTGACCTGTTCACATCAGTCTTATCCCCGAGATGCATTGGTCTTCTAGAATAACGCACTTACGGGACACTGGACTGTCTTCAAAGTTCATTTACTGGGAGAACTGACATGCTGCAGCAAACGCAACATGCTGCACTACAATACCTATTCTGTGATGAAAAGTTACAAAAAATTGTAAACATAATGCTTCAATTCTTGATAGTCTCCGATATTTGGGTACTTGAAGTTCGAGGTCATAGTTTTATGCACTATAATTGCTAGAATTTTCATTTTCATATGCGAGAAATTTCACTGAATTCAACGTGGCCTTTAAATCAAGATGGCACTCACTATATTTTATGTGGGATACATAGCGTGTGAGTAGGCAAATTGACAACAAGCCCAAGGTATAGTATGGTCTCACAGAGAAACGCCTTAAAGGGAGCATGTTCATTGTCATACAGTTACACGTCAAGTGAAACACGTCTCAGGAAATTTATGGAATAATTGAAACCCAAAGGCTTACTCGATCAGTGCCAATGGTGTGCATTTTTAAGAGGGGGGGGTCTTTTATATCTTTGAGCAAGATGGACATTTGCCAGACTTTTACAATTTTACTTTTTTTGAAATAGCCTACTGAAGCTCGAAGAAAAAGTTTTTTATATAAAATTTTTGGGGGCATGCCAGCATTCATGTGAAAGTGCTTCTATTGAAAACAAGTTGTGATATGATGGATGTTTCCAACTGTTTGACATGCCAAGTACTTTGCTTCCAACAAATTTTTGTCCAACATGCATTTTTACATTCCTCCTCTTACCCAGTATCCCCAGTTTTTCTTTTTACTTTTTAAGGTGATGGATACCTCACAGATGTTGCGATGTGTGCTTTGCTTAGATTTTGTACCAATGGTGATAGCTTCAGAGATTGTGCTGTTCTCGCTAGCATAGGCACCTAACCTCGTCAAGTACGTTTAACGTCAAGTACGCTTAGAACGTAAGTATGTTTAGCAATTGTGACGTCCTAATATTGTGACATCAAGTACATTTAGCGACTATGACATGCTAACTGTGGCATTTAATGCCCAGCCTTCTCGTTGCAAGTGATTTCGCCAAAGAAAGTGAAAATACAAAGTTTTAATTACTAAGCTAGATTCTGTGATTAGAAGGAAGACCTGTTATGGGCTTTTGCCGCTCGTCTTATCGTAGGTTCAGCACACTTAAATTGATGCAAGTTACGAAGATTTCAAAGGTCTGTTTATAGTTGTCCAAGAGTGCACTATCTACTGTTGTGGACAAACAATGCCTGAACAAGAATACTTGAAATTGGAAAATAACATTATAAGCAGCGGAACAGTTGGAGTTCTATGAGAAGCTGTTCATACGATAGATCATTATTTGTAATGAGGAGGGCTACTGCTATTGTACAAAGGCGAGGAAGAAAGTTTAAAGACTGATCGTCCAATTTCTCTGTTCGCATTTTCTTCGTCCACGATTGCACAAGCTGGCGAAAGCCCAATGGCACAACATTCGTGTTTTGCAAGCTGCGTTTGAATCTCAAATGCACTGGTGCAAGCGTATCATTGTTGCTCATGTTATTGTTACCTCCTTACTTCATTCCTTGAGGATTTTTGACAATATGTGGGAGTTCTTAGTCAGGTGAACAATTTTACAATATTATATATATCTGTCTATATATATATGTTCCTGTTGAGTGTGTGCGTGTGTATGCTTTCAAGCTGACTGTGGTAATGAAACAGGGCCAATTCTGAGAGACTACACCGACGATGTAGTGTGCAATGCTTTTGCGCCACAGATATCATCACTGTTATGTTGTGCAACGTAGATGCTGTGTGACACTGCCTGTCCACAAATTTTATTTTCTAACAATTGAAAGAAGAAATGTTCATATTGGACGCGATTCTTTTGAGGTTGTACATCCCAGCGGCGTTGAATTTTTTAATGCAACTCATTCCAAGGAGCTTGTACGTGTTCATATGACAGAGTTGCGTAAATAAGCGCAATAAACTGCAAGTGCTAACATGTTGAAAAAAATGTGAGACATGTTCGAGATATGAGTGCACAATAAATGTGATTTTTTTTTTCGTGCTTTCTTACTCTCTTGTATAGATTTGTTGTTTTAGTATTATTGTAGGCTCGTAGTTCATCCTGATCGCAGGAAATTACGACAGCTATAATCGAACAATTTTGTTTCAAAAGCCCCCAACAGCCTTAAGTTTGTTCGACTTTTACACTTGAATAAATAGCTTTGTTTTATAATCCTGAGACTGAATCATAAATGCTGTAGTGTACCATAAGCAGTAGTGCTCTCACTGTTAATTACAACCTTATTTGTAATCATTTCAAATGCCCACCAAATATTTCAATTTTGCACGTTGATTTGTTTTGTGAAGTGCACCCCAAGAAAAGTGTATTTTTTTATAGACAATGTATTAGAGAACAAAGTTCTCTAAAATCTTTTGGGGTGACTATATCGTGACAAAAATTGATTTGTGCTGTAACATGCACATAGTTTATTCATGGGTAACAGCAAAATAAATTCTAAAAAAAAGCTATATGGCTGTTAAAAAATTTCGCGTTGCAATAAATGTCCGTGTAGTTCATAGACATACCAAAATAAGTACACAAAGTAGCGTCGAGTGAAAAACAGATGAAGAAAAGCCACCTTTTTCCAGTCAGCATCGTTTCGCTGTGTACACTTTCGAGATGTCACATGCTCATCACTCGGATCACGAGTACTGCCTCGCATGATGGGCTGACATTTACTGAATCAGATTCTGATTCACCAGTTGAGCGGTGATTCTGAGGAATCGCCGCCACTGTAATCGCCACCAGGCTCGCTTTTGCAGCTGAGACCGGCACGCACTTCCATAGTGCAAGAAAACTGTGCAGGTGAGGGCACTGAAGAAAATTTTGTAGTTCCGAGCGTGTTTGGGAAGCAAGAAAGCGTCTGAAACCTATAACAACTATTTGTCTTATCCCCAACGAAAGGGAAGCGGCTTTCGCACATCCACAGCGGCATCGTTTGTGCCAGTTAACTGCCAGCACAGAAATAGGCATAATCATGTGCCAGGGAGCAACAAACAAGATAGAAACAAACCCATTGCCTTTTGAAAGATGCTCAGCCAGAAGGCCATCAGTTTTGCAAGCAAGCGCAGTGAGCGGTGACCGGACGTCGGACGAAATCGAAACTAGCTGGTTCATCAACTGTAGTAGAGCATAAAAAACCAAACGGAGAAGCATCGGCATAAGGAAAAAAGTTCCATGTATTCCTACAATGTGGCAGCACATGCCAGGCAAGAAAAATTACCGAAAAAGGCAGGGGTTTCAGGCATACAGGCAATGACGCGCATGTACGTCTCTGACCTTAAAAGGTTTAACCTGGTGCCCATCAGGGTGAGGCACCGCAAGATCGCGCACATGTCAAGTTTTTGCGATGTTGAAAGCACGCCTTGTAAAACAGGGCCCTGTGTGTAAGATCCACACGGCAGAGGTGCAGTGGTATCACCTAAGGTGTGATACACCAAGCACATTCTCCTGCAAAAATTTGTGTATAACGAAACAATGCACGACACATCAACTCCACTTGGACTTCGTACATGCTCGACCACCCACTATATTGTCAAGAAGCGCCTCTCAGAAACAACTCCTCGCTGCCATTCTTGAAATAATAATTGTTGGGGCCCAACGTCTCAAGACCACCATATGACTACGAGAGACGCCGTAGCATGTTCACCTTCATTGCAAATGCACGCCTGGTTGTCAGTAGCCGAGTGCCTTAGCCACTAGACCACCGTGGCGGGTGCGGTACTTGAAATGCCGATGGCATAAGCGTATGTATGCAATGGCATGAGTGAGGAAGGAAAGGAGCAATAGACCTATCAACTGCCTATCTTTCTATTGGGTGAGCTCCAAAAGCTGTAATCCGCGACGCCAACAACACTCGTAGAACGCTGTGAAATAGCTCGAATGACCTGCACAGCAATTTGCTGCCTCACACCGGTAGGGATGTTGCAAGGCGCTTCCAACTCGGACGAGCACTGGCAGTTACTTTAAGACCAAACTGAACTATCTGAAAGGCAATAATCGCCACTCATAATTGTTCAGAAGAGCTCCCATATACAGGACGATCCACCAACACAAACATTTTGAGCTTGCAATTTTGGTGCTAGGGGCTTTTTTAAGCGAGAAAATGTTTTTATAATTCAGCGGCTGCCATGGCCACGGGCACTAGGCTATAAGTTTGCTTCACCACGTTGCATGCTTCACGCAATGAAGAGATGACTCTAGCGATGGTATAAAAAATTGCATGTTGCGTTTTCTTGTAATGCTGGGTGCTTAGTATAACTAGTGTAGCACACACTTGATAGTTTACCATAATGCAGCAGATAAACTGCATGTACTAGTAATATCTGAAGTAGGACAGATCTTGATGTTGCGCCACCTGTCATTTGGTCAGCTCACGGCATATGCACATCATGGGAAGAAAAAAGCACTGGAGGTATTGCTCATAGCCTTTCAGTGTGAATGGAGTGACAGGCAGGTAAAATAGTGCAATTGTATTTACACCAACCAGTAAAATTGTGAAACTACATAATAAAATTATATGATTATGCAACAAGTGTGTGTAATTGTATACAATTGTGCAATTGTTAAATCACCCATTTATATTGCACAACTGTTCAATAAGTAAAATTGTAATTGTTCATAATTGTGTAACTACAGAATAGTGAAATTACTAAATCATGCAATAACATTCTGCAATTGCTCAATGAGTGAAATTGTACTAGTAATTGTTCACATTGTGCAATTGCACAATAAAATTGTGTAAGTGTGCAACAAGTGAAAGTGTAATTGTGAACCATTGAAAGGTACACAACTTCCAAAAATCATGAAGCGTACCATATAAGACCACTGTAGAAAAAGAAACTTTGCAAAATACAATGCAAGTTTCTGAGTTAGTGTTTCTGATTTCATAGATTATTGCAAAACAAGCTTTTGTCATAAAAAAAAAACAAGGCATAAAGAAACACTTTATTTCACGCTTGGAGTGTCGTTTCTTGTCACAAGAATGGATGACTGTGGACGCAAGACTATCAGACAAGGCATGATTTGTGCGGTGGATGTTGTCCATTTAAACAACAGCATGGCATTGTTCAGTCCACGGCCTCTACACGACGATACCAGAAACGAGCCCTGAAATCGTCGCTGCACGTCAGAAAGGCCGGGCCCGTTGGAGAATGGACCAAATTACGAACTGTGTTGTTGTGGCCTGAATAGAGAAGAAAAATGCATGAACAAGTATACAAGTTTAACATGTATTTAAAAGGTTCTACATGCGAACAGCATTATATAATTATATGGCATTCCGCACGGGATCAAAAACACAGAAGAGAAAAAATTTTTTTCTCATACGGGTACATAACTCTTCCACAACTCCAAAATCACCGCATTTGCCATGAGAAGGCGCGTGGTAAGCAGGAAAACGCTTGAAAAAAGAAAATGCAGGGGGCAGTAAAGCCTCAAATTCCCTACAACAAATGTCCTTGAGTTGTAGATTTTGATGGCGTCAATGAAGTGTTGCGCAGTACCTAAGCCGTGAAAACGAAGTGTACTGTGCTTTCAGGGGGCCGCAGACCTAACATTAGTTTTCAGAAATTTCGTTGAGCCAATGTCGTTGAAATATGAAGCACTTTGAAATCCGTGACATCATTCGTGCAGATTTCATCGCGAAATTTTCATTGAAGCTTTGGACCTAGGATTTCTCTTCCACTTGTAAACCTATATGGTGGTGAAATTAATGAGAGAGTTTTCACGGTACAAGTCCTCAGTCTAAACTGAATCACTGTTTCGATTTATTCTCCCTTTGATGTTGATCACCTAATGTTCTCAAGCATGATCCTATGTCTATAATGTAAACACAGGTACTTTTATTACATTTCTCCGCTATCAAAATGAGGCTGCTGTGATGGCCATGAATTGAACCTGCATCCTCGAGTTCGGCTGTGCGACACCTTAAACACTAGGCTGCCATGATGAGAAAATGGCTTCAAAAATCCCTTCAGTGACTGTCTTATACACATTCTATTAGAGGATGCATATTTCAATGCATGTATACAAACAATTTAATCACTATAACAGTGAGGCCGACTTTTGGTAACTGCTAGCTCCAAGCAGATCAACAGTTGAGGGCGTTGACTCAAGGTGGTCGACACAGCAGTGTCGATTAATGCAGTTTTGTACCTGCGATCACGACAGAAAATGTGACAAATCAGACGCCAAATTGTTTCGGCATCAGAAATTTCAGCTATCCTCATACAGTAGCTCTATGAGGTGTGCAGCAATGCTGTGAAGGTGTCTGAAAAATAGGTCATAAACTGCATAGAGAGCATAACAGCATTCGAAATGCTTCAGCTTTCTTCAAGGCGAAATTAAGAGCGCTATCTCACGCATACAACTAGTCAAAGCAACGTCAACTAAACAGGTCTGTGCAATTGACATGCAAGTGCTTACCCAAGGAAAGCAAACGCTGCCGTTCAGCGTTTCTCGAGTCCCAGCTGCACAGACTGGTGGTCTTCTCGTCGGGGAAGAGAACTGCAAGCGATGACGTAAAACAAGCGTTCATTTTTGCTCGTACAAGAACCAGTAACCCATGGCACACAATGCCAGATCATGCTTCCTGTTTCGTCTCTACATCTTTTCAGCGCAAAACAGTCCCTAAGAAAATCAGCATGCTAAATTAACCTGTAATGAGTATTGTGTGCAAGATATTCTGAACTCATTTGAACAAAAAAGTTGTATGGTGAACATTGGCAAGTGAGTAAATGCCAAGCTCAGATATTGCTCATGAAAGTTCAGCATACCGTAACTTCCGCTCAAATGGGCCTAGAACATTCATTCCTGTTTTACTGCATACGGTACTCATTTCAGGTTATTGAGATATCCTTTTTTTTAATTTATGGAGTTTACTGTCCCAAAACCACGACACGATTGTGAAAGACACCATAGTGGGAAAATCTGGAAATTTCGATTATTTGAGGTTTTTCGACGTGCATCCAAACCTACAAAATGCATCAAGCATTTTTACCTCTATCGAAAATGTGGCTGCAGCAGCCTGGATTGGATCCCATGACCTGCGTGCCAGCAGTCGAGCACGGTAACCACTAGACGACAGTGGTAATTATCTGATGATTAAATTTATAACCCTCAGAGTTAGGAATAAATGGTACCGATAACAAGGTATATGAAACGCTTAATATTTTGAAAAGTGCAAATAATACTAGGAAAGCAATTGCATGTTAGAAATCAGGACATAAGTACATAAATTTCAACTGTTTCATAAAAACATGTTCCAAAAGACACAAAAGCAGGGTCTCCCTGCAAAATGGCCCTGCAACACATCTGCAGCATGGTCACATAATGATGCCAATAGGTATTTGAGGCTCCCAAGAACAAGTGAGCTAAAACATTATAGCGCATCGCAGGGCTTGGAAATTTACAGTTTTTGAAGTTCACTAAAAATCTTTACCTCTTCTCTCAAAAAGCGGTGCCATCAGCACAAATTACCGTACCATAAATCCAAAGTTCATGGCCACTGGCCTATTTAAGCACGGCGAGCTGCATAGTTTCCATGGCTACTGCAGGATGCCACCGAATGCCCTCCCAAACACTCAAGATTACAATGAAAGTAAATCGTGTGTTCAAATACAAAAGGAAAGAAAGGGCTCAAGGGGACCACGCATGTCGACATATCTTCTTGCCCCTTTGTCATCCCTCATGCCCCGTGTAGCATTCGTTGCACTCGCCAGCACAAAAGAGAGAGAAAGACTAGTATTAAAGTGCTTGAAATATGTAACACCACTCGCACGCACTTTAACGTTTTAACGTTTTTTTTTGTTTTTTTTTCGGTAGTCAATTCGTGAGCCAATAAGCTCTTTTAATGAAGCTACACGATGATCATTTGGAAGAGTGTTACAGGTCCTCTACAAGCATAAATAAGCTCTGAAACTTCTGGTTTTCCATAAATTTCGACAGGAGTCGTCGCCGCTTTATTTAGGTGACCCAAGCCTGCACACTATGCCGTTCCACGAGGCATACCCTCCCCTGTTTCCGATCTCGTTCGTTGCTCACCATAGTCCTCTGTGTGATTAAAGATTCCCTGAGCCCTGTGAGACTGCTTCCCAGTTGCTCCTGCTCCCGTGTAGGCAATGAGACACCGGGACATGGACAGCTCCCAGAGCTTCACGATGGAATCTTTGCCACTTGACAGGACGTACTGCAAAAGAAAAGGCCGGCGCTCTTGGCAATGTGACAGCGTGCGATCGTGCTCCGAATTGGCTGGTACAGTGAACGCTACCTTGTATGATCTTCAGGGGAAGTACTAGTTCACCTAAATTAAGCAAGTTTCCCAAGAATATGGTTCAGCATTGGGCACATCAGATATCGAGTGAACAGTGTGAAATGCAATTTATTTCGAAAAGATTTCTGTAATTTTCATCTGGACCGGCATTCTTAAAGCACAAAAAGAGACAAGCTGTCCAGAAATGTTTCTGAGCACTGTCTCTGGCACAGCTTATCGCTGTGGCACGAAGAATCACAACTTTTTAATATACCCTGCAGCCTTAGCTAGAGATACAGGATTTCAACCTGCCTCATTCATTACAACTCCCTCGTCGCACTCATCTTCAGGCTACAAATGAACACTGGAAAGAATTTCTAAATCTGGTAGTTTTACACGGGTAACAAGCTCACTGGCACACTGCATGTAGTCTTCAAATGAAGCACTGCTGTCAATATACAGCTGCAGTGCTAAAGGGCGCAAAACTTCAGTGATTCAAGTTTTAAAAATTACAGTTCGAATCCACAGATCACACTTGCTCAACCAAAATCATCAATATTCAGAAATCTGTTTAACTGAAATATTTTTGCACTGAATACATAGGAAAGCTACTGGGAATATTCTCAAGGTTTGTCATTCTGAAATATTTACTAAACCGGCATTACTACTAGGGAGAGTTCACTGTATAATGTGATCGCTTGGCAAAGTGCTCTCTCACGTAATAAAACTGCACCAATTGCTTCATTTTCCTAATTTGACCTTTCAAATGTGACCAATGGGGAACTGTGTGTGAATGCGTCGAATTTACATGTTGCTTCAAGACACTACATAATCAATTGAAACAGAATTTATCGATAAGTTTATTTACATATTTTACAGTAATAAGTTTGATTACAAAATAATTCAACATGCAATTATCCTGCAGTCATTCACATTCTGTTCGTGCATAAAGAATCAAATATCGACTAGGAATCCGGCGCGATTTCACTTTCTGTTATGTTCCTATTGAACAAAAAAGAACTATACTTTTGAAATGACTCTCTGAACACAATAGTAACTTCAGCAAAGTGATCATATGCAGTAGTCTACAGCAAAACTTAAATCAAGACAGATTTATTTTACAGGAGTTACGATTATCAAAGTATGCATTTTGCTTTCTTAGCCTTAGGTCAACACAGCTAGCAAATCTACACAGCTAGTACGAATTTGTACAAAGCAACTCAAAGGGTTAAAAAGAGAAGGCAATGATGTTCTTGTTTTGCACATCACCTTATCTTGACCACGAGACAAGGGATAAGAAATCAAGCCAGAAAATTCCAGCCGAGGGTAATGTTTTGCCGTGTTCTTCCTTGTCACAGCTACACGTAAAACTGCAAAGACGCGAGAGTTGTTCAAAGGAAGCGGCAGTTTTCTTACGAGTACTAGGGTGAGCTTCACTCACTTTCCCGTTGCGAGAGAAGACCACGGAGCAGACCTCGTTGCCGTCGTGGGCCTGCGGAAACGTGCAGACGCACTTGTTGCTCACGCCATCCCAGAGCTTCAGGTCGCCGTCCTTGGAAGCAGACACGTACAGCTTGCCGGTATTGTTGTAACGAACCTGGCACCAGGTGGAAAAAGTAAAGGTGACGCTGTTACAGGAACGCACAACCTTTACCGCTCACTGTCATCACAGCTATGCCAGCAAAACTGCACTCCAGCTATAAAGGTTTCAAAAGATGCCTTGATGCCAAATAGAGGCACTCCCATAGCATTGGCTGCATAGCAGCCCGTGGTCTGTGGTGTTTAAAAGAGAGTCTTTCCGGACAAATGGACACAGTACAAGCCGTAGTGTAACGAACGCATAGCTTCTTTTTCTTCTTTTTTTTTGTTCACAACTTTTACAGTGGCAAGCCTGCCAGCCAAATCTTACCAACAACTACAGCACTACAATAAATAACCCAATATAATGCCAACATAACATGCACAATCTACCGTGAATGTGGAGTCACCGGCATTGAACTCCAAGGGAGTCTGTGAGACCGCGTCATGGTATCCCACCCCGGACCTCAAACGAAAGAAAACTGTCCACAGCCATGCCAAGCGACTCAAAATAGCAATTGCTGCTCCCCGTGCACCCGCCTAACCTCGCCGACAGGCCGGCGCCACCGCGGGAGCAGCGTCATGCCTTGCACAAGGGTGAGCATGCCAACTATACCAACCCGCCAGACCCACATGTACTACGAGGCGAAAAAAAACTTGACATGGGGTGACAGCCCAGCAGCACAGGTCTCTTGTTTTTTTCATGGTATCTCGCAAGCTTAGAGCAGCTACATTGTGCCTTTGTATAAGCTACACGCCATCTTTTGACAACAGCCCATTTTCATACAGGAAACGTACAGGTAGTACAGGTACAAGTAGTAGAGGTACAGATAGTAGCCAGTTATAATAGGGGTGGGGGGGGGATAACTCAACTACCGTTTATGTATGTTTGCTTGAGTGTTAGTATGCACATTATATAAAGTTTATTCATTCACTCAATTTCTGAGAAGTTTACCCCTATGAATCTGTCATAGAATACTGCTGCGATGCGACGTGACGTCTTTAAAGCTAGATTCTATTTTTCATTTGACATGCTCTTATAGCACCACATCTGTGCATTAAAGCACCACACCAATATGTTGACATGAGTGTGAAAGTCAGTGAGCATTTGCATTTGCAGTGGTGCGAAAACTTTCACGCATTTTGGAGCAGCCATTGGAGCAGGCAAAATCTGCTTTTGGAGCAGCTACGTCTGTGTTTGGAGCATGCACAGGCTTTTCATGACACACCCAGGGTAAGAAAATTTAGCTTTAATTTAGTTTAATGTTCCCTCAGCTTACATAATCATTTATACAGCAGCAGCAAGCCGACAAAATAAGCACGAAAATAAACAAAAGTAGTATTATGTACAGAAGTGGTGACATAAGATAGCGGAGGATATTGGACCAACAAGCTAACTACAACATGAAGTTCATAGCAGCATGCGCACACCCACATAACACAGACACATTCAAAGCTCGTTACTGTAAAACCTCGTTACTATGTACTGTTGTCACCCTCGTCCGTAGGGGCCACGCTGTCCATGAGAAGCAGAGCTGAGCAGCATTCTCACACCCGGTACCCCAGTTCTCTCGGGAACGAGCGTCCAGGGTCGGGGAGCGACAAAAAGATTAGAAGACTATCCTTGAGCCAATGTCCCTACAAGCATTTCGCCCTGATGGCTTGTTTAGCGAGATGGCGAAACAGACCGACTGCACAGGTCGTGTCTACGCGATTAAAGTCTTTACTCCTAGGCTGCCCTTCCCGGGAAAGACAGCAGCAACCACCCAACCGCCAACTGGTTCCGGGAAGGAACCCATTTACCCTCTCCTCAGTAAAGCTCGGCCCGGATGAGCATTGCGTTGGGAGATGCGACCCCTACTTGGCAACCATGTGTTATTGACTGATGCCCTAGAAGGCAGTGTCTTGTGTGTGCGATTGGTGTTCCAATTATTGAGGAGGAGACCGAGAGGGCTTATATTGACGCTGCAAAGTGGTGGACATTGCTCCGAACCATGTTTTCTAACGGTTCAACTACCACGCTCGTCGTTTGAGAAACTCCTAACCTCTCTGTGCTGTAAATAAGCATTCTGGTACCTTTGCTCTTTAACCTTTAGATTAATGACATCATTAACATTAATAATAATGCCATGTTTATCATATATACAGATAACACAACCATACTTTTTTCTAAAAACAGCATCGACTATCTCATATCAAATTGTAATGACACCTTAAGCAAACTACAACAGCGGTCTTCATTAAATTCCATGAATATTAATGAAAATAAAACAAAGGCGGTTATATTTCGAGCCAAGAAAAAGCCAATCCCAACTCATGCAGACATAATTTTCAATTCCTGCCTAGTTGATATGCTTCTCGAAAGACTTTTTCTTCAGATATTTGCGACAGCTCAATGAAACTTTCACCAGTTATAGAGTTCGAGCTCCTCTTTTGAAATCTGCTTTCATTTTTTTTTTATGGCTCATTCAGTTAATTTTTTGCAGACCATGCATTTGTAGACACAATGCATTTTGTGCAAGCTTAGGCAACAATAGTCAGCACAAGAATGCTCTAAAAAATAGCAAATATTGCTCCTAATGAATTGCAGGATCCAATAAAGCAAAGAAACATTGTGTAACATTTGTGTGCTGGCCTAGAAAAGAAATTCTAATGCTGAGTTTGAGTTTTACCGTACTCAAAGAACAAGCTTCGGAAATTATCTAGCTGAATATGCTTTGGAGACCTTTGAAGGTTGTTTATTTCAATTCAGGACATGTTAAACTTTAAGCATGCCAAGTATCATTGCAATCCGACTACATAAAGTGTACAAATTATAGTGCGTAAGTTCTAAAGATGCCGAAAAATGAGGAACTGAGAAAAAGAGGTTTGAAATTTCAAAAACACGTTCAACACTATACTCTTCAACCAATCTGCAAGAAATTCACAATGTCAGCAAAGTTATCTTTAAAAAGTTGACAGTTTCAGAATAATCCAGCACTATATATTGGACCCTTATAGTCTCTGCAAGCTGCCGCCTCCTGACGGTTTCTTTTTTTTTTTTTTTTCGGTACTGCAGCGATGGGCTGTTGCTCTCGGGCTTGTGCGAGGTTCTCGGCGGCGGTATGCACTTTTTTTTTTTTTGCCAACGGCAGTTCTTGTGACGCACTGGTTTTTGAACACCAATGATTGCGCGAAACCGCACAAGCTGCTCGTGTCCGACGCCGATCGCACGCGGTGCGACCACCGACTTCACGCACACAGCGAAGCTGTCCGGTGCTCTGCCGCTGGCAGATGTCTCCTCGCTTCCACTGCATGACGGATACACGCAGCTTGACGCATACGTGGACGAAACAACAGTTGCAGCACATGCGTCATTTCGGCGCTAAGGTTCCGAAAATGATGCCAGTGCTTATCGTCTACTTGCCATTACTCGTATGAACAGCTCGCACCGCCCGCAGTTGGGGCATACTGCGCCGCCGACGAGGTTTTGTATCGCATCGGTCTCACAAATAAATGTGCTTCACCGTTCATCCTGACACTTGCTTTTGTTGTCGAACATTCTTATCTTTCACTCTGAAGCACTGACGAAGTTATCTACGCCAGGAATGAAGCTCGAACAATTAAAATCGGGTGCATCTCTGCTGCCCGGCTAGGCCTAGCAGCAGATGAACCTCTCGCCAGCGAATACTGCTTGCGTTTGGGGCGCCTTCCCTCGTACTGGTGCCGCATAATGAACTTCCGTGAACGAAATGCATCTGCGGCGCCGAAATAATAACTCAGGCAGTCATGTTCGTCGATGTCTCGGCAAAAGCAGGAGAACGAAGAAAGCGTTCGCATCCGACTGCGCGGCGGAATGCTCACAACCACTGGCAGGGCTCCGATCGTACCACGCGACTTCGAAGGACCACTCGCCACACTAGAATGCAGTGGGAAAATGATTTCTTGGTTGTATTTTTAGCATGAATGTCACTCTGCGGAAGCGGGCACTGCGAGAAGAGGGTTAGGCCTACATGCCCGCGAAATTCCAAGAGCCGTCGATGCCATAGAGCGAAGTGCCGCGTGCGCGAAAATTGGGTGATTTCGCACTTTCACGAACCACCGCGAGTGCTTTAATTGTATTTTTCAATAACTCCTAGTTGATTGTCCTCTTTGATTCTTTAATATAATAAGCAGAAGGCTTGGAGGAATACAAAACACAAGAAAACAGAAAGTTGACTTTTTCGAAAAAAATATCCCGGTTTTTCGACCGGCATCTCCCCTTAAATGCTATGGTGTTCTATTAGTGCCCACACGTCCTGGGAAACTCACGTAAACTCAGTGCTGACAAAATTAGCTCGAATAACTGGAATAGTCGGTCGGCTCAAATACATTCTCTCTCCAAAACTTACAGTTCCAGTTTACAATTCTCTTTTCTATTCACACCTCAACTACTCTCAGCTTGTCTGGGGTACAACTTCATTCTCTAATTAACAAAACGTTTACGTTGTGCAGAAACGATATCTACAAAATTTTTATAATGCTGAATATAATAAACAACTATAAGCTTCTTTTATAAAGCTGGTATTATAGCAGCTCACAAATTATACTATTATCGGCTGAATTCTAGATATAAATATGAAGTAAGCATAACATACATAATTTAGACACCCTAGCACATTTGGAAACAAATGACCACTGCTATAAAACGAGACACAGAGAGTATTGAAATGTTGTCACACCCCGCTTGAATGCTGGTATAGAGTGTTTACGTTATTCTTTACCATCATGGTTAAACCATCTAAAGTCAATCGATTTTGATTTGTTTTGTTGCTCCTCAGCCGTACTTAAATCTATGTTTGTATAAGAAAGCTAACTTTATTGACCCTGGCATTGTATTCTTGAATGCTTTTTTGCAGGCTATTGTATATTGCTTTTATTCTCCACTAATTATATGTTTTCATGTTTTCATTTCGCGTTTTTTTTTTTTTTTTTTTTTTTTTTTTTTTTTTTTCTGTTGCCCACATGCCACAGATTATTTTGAGCTACGGACTAGTCAAGCCGCCTCTTGGCAGCTTTTTTCCGTTGTCCTCCATCTGTGAGCTTGTACAAGGCGGGAATAAATTTTGAATTTTTTGAATTTGAAATCGCGCTGTAAACCTGTTTGTTTTTTTCGTATCCCCAACTTGTGCGTTCGTTTCCTCCACCCGAAGTTGCGCCACGCTACCACAAGAGACCAGGTAGACACCTGTCCGCAACAGTACGTACATGCCGAGAACCTGCTGGAAACGCGGCTAACTGCACACTAAACGTATTGTGCATTAACCATTAAGTACATAAGCGCGCACAAGGTTCCCCTTCAGGAGGGGGGGAGGCAAATGTTCGTCGCAGCGCCCGCCCCGCCACATCGTGTCAATTATGGAGCTTACTTTACAGCCCCTGCTCTCGCCCCCATGACCCCCCCCCTTGTGCACGCCTATGACCAAGTACCAATTTGCATTTTTTGACGTGTGTAATTATCGCTAAAGAAGGAATGAGTACAGTGCCATAGAAAATATTGCCTAAAGTGCCCAGCACGAAGCCATTTCTATCTTTTCCCCAATGTTCAGAAATGATTGGCATTCTCGCACGACCATCTTATGGCACGTGGTGGCGTCACCAATGAGCATTTCTAAACTACTATGGAGTCAGGAATATGCAGCCAATACAGCGGGTGACATAGGACATAATCAGTTGTCCACGATAAATCTGTACTGCCATGTGCTACTTAGTGAGAACTCACACAGCTTTTTTAGAGATGCGGTACCGTCGCAAAAAAACGTAGGCTTCATGAGGCAACAGCCCGACGACCCCCAACTCCGCAATAGCGAGCTGCTTTCGTTTCTGTAGAGTGACGCAAGCTAGACAAGGTCCGGCACAATGATTGAGGAGGCAGCAATCGGCACCTCAGCGCTCTCAAGTAGTTGCCGGCTATTAAAAGCGTGCAGTAGGCTTAAAGCAGCGCTACGCCACACACGTAGGCTTTTTGTTACTGAAGAGTCACACTGGCTGCACTTTTCTGTAGTCGACCCATCGTCCTCGTTCTTTACCGATAGTTACTAGAAAAGGCACCGCTACTATAGCGCGGAAGACAGAATAATTATCAGCTGATTCCGTGCTTTTGCAGCAGCGCAAGTGTACAGGATTGGGACCATCATGGAATATCCGCTCACGATGCGCGTTGTCAACATAACTTTCATTTCCAAAACCACCTTGTGGTGCAGCAATGATGCATATTTGGCAAAAAATACCCGTTTGGAGCGGTATGGTACAGTAATTTCCAGTTGGCATACGTTGGCGCAAGCAGTGTCATCTCTACGCAGATGACACTGCTTTACTCATAGCATGTCACTCTCCTCAGGAAGCCGAATCACTAGCCAATAAAGAGCTACAAATGACTTCTCAGTGGTTTGAACAAAACAACTAATTACTAAATACAAAAATAAACCAAGTACATAGTTTTCATCTAACCAACCAGTGATACCTCCAACACATGGTCTATTCATCAGGGAAACTGTCATTGATATAAAGTGAACGCATATACTTACCTTGGTGTGACACTGTACCGTTCATTTCACTGGACATCGCATATAGACAATTTGTAAAGAAAACTAAGCTTTGAATGCTTTACATTACTTAAGGCTAGAAAATATTTTAGCGCACACATACTCCGCATTTTATACTTCAACGTGTTCCACTCTCACCTAACTTATTGCATTGAATAATGGAGCTACACATACGCCTCGTATTGCTCAGTCATAACTATCTTACAAAAAAGAGCTGTACGAACGATTGCATCAGCACCTAAGAACGCATTCTCGGCTGAACTTTTCAGAAATCTTAACATAATGCCTTTTAATATGGTTAGGCAATTCAAAAGCGCAGTATAAGTACACTAAATAATGAATAAGAACGTACCCTTTCACGCATCAATTTTAATAAAACCCAGAGATCACACACTGCAGGCCAAACAACAAAATCTGAATCTGCCAATAGTACACAATGTCTACGGCCGTCAAATATTTTTTGTTGCTGCTAAAATTTGGAACAATATTCCTACCATAATTCTTGCCAAATATGATTCAGTCACTCAGGAAACACTATCGCAGAGTTACGGGTTGCCATCCTAACATTGTGGAAATATATGTATATGTCGCATTATTTCTGTCTTTCTCCCTGCATGTCCGCATATGATTTTGTAATCTGTGATTGAATTGTCTGTGTTAAGATTTTACTTGCTAATTAAACAATATGCCTTGTCTATGACGGATCCTTAACTAGCCATGTCGGCTACGGATCCGGATGTTCTCGCACAAATGTTTGTAAGCAATTTCATTGAAAAATAAAGCATTCTTCTTCAATTTGTGCAGATTTTCCACCACTACATTTGCGTTATGACCAGTCGGGCATTCCTTTAAGAGTGTGCCACATTGCGAATGAAGATAGAAAACTTCACACTGGATAAAGAATAAAGAAGCAAGCTCACCGCATTTATGGCACCCTTGTGCTGATCCGAAGGAATGCATGACACGAAACATTGGGCCGTGTTGACATCGTAGAGCCGTACTAAATCACGAGTTGTAAAAAAAAAAGCAGCCAAATATTTATTTATCAACAATTCATTGATTCGTTTAGCACATTAAATGTAAAAGTACTAAAGTAATCCGTTCACATGACAACTCACCCGATAGTAGCAACTTAACGTGGGCTGCTTCCATTGCACAAAACTGAGCAGTCTAGGGCTAAAGGTGTACTAATACAGCATTTCACTTTCATTAAATTTATTACTGACGAGCATTCAATACAAAAGCAGTTGAGACAAGGTTGCAGAGCTGGTAATTTTCTCACTCTATGGCGGAGAAATTTTAAATGTAATCACTGTTAAGAGCAGTAGAGCTGACAGCGACAATCGATATGGGTGCACTTGAATGCCTTCGGTGATGACCTAAGAATACATACACAATAAGCTCCACCCACAAAAATGGCATAGCACATGCTCTCTTTGTGACACTAGTTTCCAGAACATAGTTGCCAAAAGCTACTGAAATAGTTTTCTGAACCTGCAGGTGATGTTAAGCTGTTCGCAGCAGAATACCTAGGCAGTCTTGAGTGATCTAGTGTTTTTATATACTTTCCTTTAAAGAGTAAATAAACTTACAGGTGGGATGCAGGGTTCCCACCAATATGAAGTCGCCAGATGGGTGGAACGCTAGGCATCGCACCATTTCGGCCTCCTGCAGGTTTAAAACAGCTGTTTATTAGCAAACCATTCGAGATTAAAAACAAGCAGGAAAATGGTTAAACTTCCATCATTACAGGTTGAAAGACAGTTTTTCACGTCTCACGTTTTTAATGCTTGAAAAGATGAAAAATTCATGAACACGAGGTGTCGCAGGAGCCGGCATTTCGACGACCAGTATTTTCTTCAAGGCTGTGAGTACACGCATTGGGTAGGCAGTTGGAGCTTTGTAGAAAGCATGACCACGTCAAAAAGACAGGTAATGCAAACAAGAGAAGTTATTTGTGGTGTCCTGACTTATCTCTCGCGTCCGTATTCGCAAGCACTGCCTTCTTAACACCAATACTCTCCAACCAGCTCACACCTTTCAAGCTTACAACTTCCCTGAGCTTCTGCCTCATTCATAAAGCATGGCGCCCTTTCCTTTTTAAAGTTCATTTGCAGTTTTGAACCAGTGCCATACTTGCAGCCATAACAGTTTTCAAATGTCAGCTTTGCCACATTGCACAAACATTACGCGGCCAAGCACATGCAATGTATTGCAGTAAAGAGCATTTTTTAATTACATGCATTCGTCATGTACTGCCATAGGACGAGCAGCGACATACCATAAAAAAGGTACTGGCCGATTTTCCAAAGCTACAATGAAAGTTAATTAATTACACACTAGTTAATTAGGAAAGTCAGATAATTCAAACATGTTCTCTGGTCCTCCCAGCAAGCATGTGCATTGTTCAATGGCATGAAGGTCTCCATTCATAACAAGTTATTTCAATCAATTGCATTAAAACCAATTCAATCAATCAATAAAACTCTAATTAATTTAGTAATATTTGGCCACAGCCTGGTTAATTCGAATGATCCTTAGAACATGGCATGCATGAAGCATCGATCGAAAATGTGCAGCGCAAAGGAGCTAAAACAGTGTTCGTGAACAACCGAAAGGCTGCGGGCCGGCAGCTTTGTTTTGACTTAGTGCAATGTGGCTGCAGTGTCAGAAAAGGCACACTAGTAGAAAGCTGTTGAAAATGATGAGGTTCAGCCACAATGCGCATAATAGCGTAAAATTGGCTTGCTTCATTGAGATGAACAAATGATCAGCTGCCCGCCAGTCGTTCTGGTGAAAAAATTATCGTAATGTGCGCATGGTGATGTCGGCGATGGTGGTACATATTAAGGGACTGTCCAGAGCACCTTTCAGCTTTTAGTGAAGAGAGACTTGAGCCACGGTCACACTGTGAAAAGAGTCGCAAATGACTGAAATTGTGGCTTTTAAACTGCTATTACACAAAAGAAGTTTGACATTTACATGTTCACAAAAAACTGAAACCGCACTGATGTAACAGACTCTTGTGTATTGTTTTCTTGATAATCAGATATTCCTCCTTGTGCAGTGAAATCCGAATTAATATGCTTTTATTGTATGCCTTACATGGCTGTGGTGACTCGCCTTTGAGGGCAGGAAAAGCTCGCATTCATTCTTAAGGTGAGCGCAAATGGAACATCCGGCTTATGCATTTCAGCTGGGAAGACAGAAAGGGGTTGCTGTGTGTGCAAGGACTTGGAAGTAGAGAAACTTGCATGGTCTATCGGAGCTAGCGAGAACAATGACCTTTCTGCTTTCCTTCCAGCCCAAACACATAGGCTGGACTTTACGTTTATGCTTCTCTCTTGACCCCACTCCTCCTTATCTCCCTGTGAAAACAAAACATACTTTCCATGGCTTATTCATTACTGTTGCTCTCTTGACGAAACGACCAGATGCCAAAACATTGGCTCAGAGACACCCCCAGACAGGATTTTTTTCATCTCTACCACCTTCTAAGCATTTTAAAACACATTCACAAGTTTATTTGTAGCTAAACTTGATGCAGCATCTGTATTACACTCAATTCTCCTCCTAAGTGAAAAACAGCTTTATCATATTTACAGTTATCAATTATTGTTTATAAAAAAATTTCAGATTTAACGAAGTACTTTCATGGTAGATGCGACGTTGATATAATGAGCTTTGAGCGTATTGTACTAAGAGCTGAAATTCATGTACTCTGTGGCTTATTCAGAAGAAGTTGGAAAATACAACAACAATCCGTAGTGTTCTTGTGAACAACTCACATGAACTGTCTTGAATGCTCGCTTCACAGACGGTTTTGAGAAGTCAAAGAACTTGACAGTATAGTCCCTGCTGCCAGATGCCAGGATTTGCTCCCGCGGGTGAAACTCGAGGCACGTCACCTCCTGAAATTGAGCAAGGAGTTCACAGCTACAGCCCAGCTTGAAGTTCAAGCGTGTGAACGACGCTGCTCAGTGTGGGGTCTCGAAATAGAGAGTGAGCGCCCCGCTCTTGGAGTGAACGGACACAGTAGACACGATCGGAACAAACCAAACAATACACGTTTATTTAACTGCTTTTAGAATGACAGAATCGTCAGCCGAATAGTTATACATCAATTGTGCTCAAACATGCTAAAACAATCATACACATAATTACACAACATTCATCAGCATAACCAACATAAGGAGGCGTTGCCAACGCCTGACTCACCACGAGGTCCCCGGCAGACGGCCCGCAGTGCCGTGCATTGGGCACACACCGCGAGAGACAACCGTCCACGCCAAACGCCACGTGCAAAAAGACTCACTCAACTCTCTCGTGCCCCACCAAGGCTTGCCACCAGGGGTCACCATTGGCGCTACCAATCTAACTATGATGATGATAGTGGTGATCAACAGTCGCGAACACGCCACCTTCCGCTCAATAGTTGCGACTTCAAAATACAGCTTCTGTGCGAGACACATGTGCCAAGCGGCGCAAACTACTTTACAGAGGGTGTCAGCGTTCCCACAACAGAGGGAGTGCTAGAATGTGCATGAAGACTTATGCCATATTGCATCGATACACAATGCATGCATCAATGGCCAATGCATCAATGTTCTCAAAAAATAGGGAGTCGTTTTTGTAAAGTTCTGCATCTATGCATGAGCCTGTAATGTGCCAGGGAGGTTATAATAATAATAATAATAATAATAATAATAATAATAATAATAATAATAATAATAATAATAATAATAATAATAATAATAATTAAATTGTCCCTAAAAGTCATTACAGGTGCATTACATGGGAAGAGGGGCACATCAGCATTGTTCTCTGATTACACATGACAGAGGAAAAAAAAAGGACACAATAATACAAAGTTGAAAACAAATAGAGTCGATCCCAGATATATCGAGATCAAAGGAGATCGCGAAATAGTTCGATATATCGAGAATTTGAAATACAAGATATGCATATCTAAGGCCTAATTGAAGAATTTCAGGCCTCAGAAATCGTTACAAGAGCTAACATAATGATTCGCTCAAAAACAATGTGCGAACTGCAGGTTACCACACTTTATTTTGTTCATGAACTTGTCTTGCTCCTTGCATGCCGTATAGTTCGAGCTTTTCAGCTTAAGCTTAAGCTTTTCAAATAAGCAAACTTAGCTCCTTCGGCCACAACATTAACTGATGCAAAACGCCGATGCAAGCTTTGTAGCATAGCAAAAGCTTGGATAGCGGCGGAAGCGAAGGCGGTGGCACATTCATAACCGCACGACTAAACTTCCGCGGCAACGACAACGACAGCCAAAATCTCAGAATCGATGCAGTCAGAAACATTGTCATCTGCACCGATGAAGTCGCTAATGTCCGAGATGGTGCCCGGAAATGCTGATAAATCGCAGAATTCACTGAGGCCTCGTACACCGTTGTCAGCGGTGATGATGCACCCGAAGCCGTCACCTGGCCCGCAAGGAACGTTTACGACAGTGTTTTACTTAATGTCGCTCCAAGCGCCAATCATAATTTTTATCGCTACGTGCAAGTCAACAATCAACTCCCGAATGGGGATTTATCAGGAACGAGGCAAGAAGGCCACAAGACGCAAAGGACACAACACTGAGTTCATCAGAGTCACGGAGGAAGGAAAGTTGTTTCCCTCGTCCATGGTCGAGTTCTCACTGTCAACACGTTGGAGATATCGATGTTACTGAGACTTTATAGCTGGCAGCCACTGCTTTTAGCGGCTTTGATGCGAAACGATAAAAAAAAGTCTAGCCACAGAGACACGCGTTCGGAAACCAAAAATACTAAAAAAATACGTCACAAGGTTGCACATCTCGAAGGCCATACTTTTCAGGCTCGCATGCCTTCGTGTGCGAACAAACAAGGAAGGAAATGCGAACCAAATGAGGACATTGCACTGAAATCACCGAGTCACTTCGCAATCTCTTTCAGTGCCCTCGGCAATCGGTCTTTTCGAAAACACTATGCTTACGCGCTAAGACGTGCAGATCGCGCATCAAAGGTACCAATGTACTCGCAAGTGCCGCGCAGCAAATTAGATGAGCACGATGAAATGACACCACTTTTTTGTTGCCTGCACGCGAAAAAGGATCGGAACTTGTTTGAACGTGGCCTAAAATTGATCAATATTTGCTAGCAAAAAATGCACTTTCTGGGCTTCAGCACGGCGCATCGTTCGATATAGCGGATGTCCCGCTGTGTGGGAGTTCGATATACGGGTGCACCGGTCTCATACTTTTGCATGGGAAATTCAAGGGATTTTTTAACTATTAGATATGGCCAATAATTCTATATATCTGTGTTTGATATATCCGGAATCGACTGTAATTTCGACTGTAATGAACAAAAACTGCACACTTAAAAAGAAGACATTACACAAGACTATCGGTGTCCAGCAAGCAGCCACAATTAGCAGACAGCCATAACGCACAACCTGACCTCAGATGTTTGCATCATGACTTGCCTGGCAACAAGACATGCGACAAAGCTGTTGCACTGGGCAGAGTCACCTCAATGTGGTCGTAGAGGGTGCGAATGACGGGGTGCGTCTCCATGTTCTGCTGTGCCGACTCCTGCGCCGCCACTTCGGGAGGCATGGCACTTTTGGCGAGCATACGGTCCACATCAAGGATCTGCCAGAGATGAAAACAGCAATAGAAGATTAAATGGCTTGCAAGGTCTACTCTCTTTTGGTGACTGTTTTTCGAGTATAATTGTCACGGAGATTTCTAGCAAAATGCCTGATGACGACTATAATCGTCATCAACAAAAATAGGTCTTGCACGAAATCAATGACAGCTATTCTCGCCGTACTTGTGTGTTTTGATGTTAAATGGCCGCACTTGTTCGTGTTGGAGCATTTGTGTATTGGCTTTCAATTTATTGCCTTTTATAATTGTCTTGCTATGCGTTGAAGCCAACTTCATATCGCCTTTTTCTACGCGCATAGTGAAACAAAGGAACACCACTTAATTGAGAGGACTATGCTGTTTTATCTAGAAAAAAAAATACTACGAACTGAGCAAAGAAAGATTTTGGGTGATTTTGGCATGTTTTAATTCTTTAGCCCGTGAGAGGGTTAAAAGTGCACTGCAAATTTTGTTATGCACTGGGAGCACATATAAATGTTTATGTGATAAAGCTCACTTCCATCCTTTATTTTACTACTTTGCACTGTGGTGTATTTGCAGTGGTAGCGGTGTGACATTTGAAGATTGTCCGAACTTATATGCCATCGTTGGTAACACTGAAAGCAGTGCAAGTCTGCAATGCTAATGCAAGTTTAGAAATGGAGCTTGCTCAAAAAGTGCTACTGTGTTATTCTTTAGAAGGATAGACTTTTGGTGCAGGAAATAAACACAGCACTTTCCATTTCCAAATTTCACTAATATAAAAGTGCACCGCTTCTGTTAATCTGTCATACATTGTATAGCACTTTCAAGTGTCATGGGTCGCCTTCGATTACACAGAAAAGACCATGATGATATACAGGAAATAAAACTTAAAACAACTACAACGTAAGCGGTTCATCAAGGATTCACATTTTGATAACTACGGCTTATAAAACATTGGTGCAAGACTGTCTCGTCACTCTTGCACTGACATTATTTTGACTAACCTTTGCATAAAGAGAAGTAAACAAGGCTCACCTTAATAGAAGCATCAGCTGAGCCAGTCGCAACAAGTTGTCCTGCATGAGAAAACGAGACCACAAAAAGATGAACAAACACTTCAAGATAAAGCCATGCAGCCATTCTCTATGTTTCAATTTTGGCAGAGCACATCCATTCACTTGCGAAAGTAGCAAGCCATGCTCTTCAACACATTGACGCACCAAATCCACACAGCACTCTTCCAGCGTATGATGAAAGACAGTAGACGAAATGTACAGTACCAGAACAGGGGCAGCGCCAGGAGGGGGCACAACCCCCGTCCCCATTCCTCTCTAAGAGCAAGCGTAGTCAAAACAATGCATAAGTTCTGTGCCTCCCTGCCCCCATGAAGGAACACAATTGTCGCCAGTGCCCATCCAGAAAAAAAATCCTGGCACCACCCCTCTATCCTAACACTTAAACTCGACAAACTTGCATATAGGCATGCACAAGTTGCTTGAGAACGATGCAGGGAATGTGTACTAGCTTTCACAGGCGCATTAGATGTGTGGCTGCATTACACCTCATTCAAGGACTAAGGCTATTTCAGAACCAGAGTTCATGCACGGCTCCCTAAATTGAAGTTTTTGCGGCGAGAAGCAGATTTATAGAAACTGCATTCACTTTGCATCCTTGTCATTTGTGTCAAGAGTTTCGAAAGCTGCATGATGTCTACATTACGTTGCGGAGGAAGAACCGGAAACAAGGCGTGTTGCTCACCAAGCTCCAGTCAATTAGCAGTAGTCAAAAATGAACAGACCATCAGGTTAACACATTAAGACAACACATCAAGCTTTCCAGCACTTGAAAGTTGTTTATCAATAGGGTATGGACCAACTCAATCAACTATAGATCAATCAACAAGTCAATCGACTATGGACCAACAGATGATCACAGAAATAAACAGCATCACATACCATCTCGGCTGAATGTTCCTGCTCTGCACTGTGCCTTGTGGGATGTGACATAACAGGTCTCGTACAATGCAGGCTCAGGTGCGAGGGAGGCGGCTGCAATAATGATGTCATGTTACACTAACAATGTCTAAATGGCTGGTAAAACAAGAGAAAATATAGCGAACGAAGATGACTCTGCTTCATTGTCTCTTAACATGTCCAAAAGGCACTTAAAGAGAGACTAATGAAAACACTATTTGTCTAATGGTAGTAAATTATTTTTCCACAATTCTAAAATCAACATGCTATACACAAGATGCGAGAAAATGCGAAGAAAAGAAAATGCTGGTGGTGACACCATAAATTTTGACGGCATTTATTAGGTTCTGCATAGGTCCTAACCAGCAAAAATGAACTACATTGCCCTCTGAGGGGGCCGTCGACTTAACATACCAAATTTCAGTAAATTTCGGTCAACCAATGTCACCAAAATACAAAAATATGCTTTGAAATAAGTGTTGTCACGTGCAGTGACTTGGGAGCAAAATCTACAGATGAAATTTTGACTTTGACTATGTTTTTGTTCTCTAATAAGCCTATGACGGTGAAATTAGCGACATTAGAGTTCTCAACATACTATTTGTCAATCTAAACTGATTCGTTTCCCTTTGGTATCCCTTTAAGGAAGTGCCGACATAAAATTTACACCCTTTTTATATTTTGTTATATACCAATCGAAGCTCATTACAGTAGTGCAAAGTACCTAATATATGTGCTGTCCAAGATTATGAGAGTACACATTTCAAGTGTCGCCTCCTTCTATAGGACACAAAACAGGCCAAGAAATTGATGGCTTCTTGTTTTCTTGCTGATGACCATGACCTATCTAGCTGCTGCTTCGATAAGGCTAACTTTAAATACTGGTCTCACGGGACGTGATGTGGACGCAGGGGGCACGCTGGATGTTCAGATGAAACTGCTTATGTAACCGAACTTGTGACCAGTAAATCGAAAGTCAGATTACAGCAACACACTGGCACTAATAGGGAACTAATAGCGGCTGTCGATCAACTCATAAGTGATGACGCGTGTCTGCATTTATACATGTGCCGCCAAATATTCCAGCCCTATCGCTAGCGACCATTAAGTTCTAGAAGAATCTATAATGTTCCCACTGTGCGCGTAATTGCACAAGGCAGCACCTACACGTGTAATGGGGCGATAAGAGAACTTCAGAAAGGAGTGTGGCAACGGTTTAGCAAGAAAAGAAATCGAAACTGTAGTGTCCATCGCTGTCGGCTTGCTACTCAATGGTCCGCAGCTGCATAATTATGAAAATGTTAATTTTACCTTCGGTTTCGTACTCCAAGTCGATTCCAGGTCCCATGTAAAGCTGGTCTAAGTTCGAGACCTTGCTGCCTTTTGACTCTGTAAAAAACAAAAAAAATGCCCGGGACATGGAAGAATCGAGACACTACATCAATTTACAGCGCTAAAGCACTGTCTTAATGTTACAGCATCATGTAATGAGGTGAAAACAAATACAACATTTTTCAGTAGCCTAAATTTATTGTTCCCCATAAAAACCTAGCCTCAGCAATAGCGGATCAGATCAATGTCATGCATTCCAAAGCATTTTCACCTATTTTGGAGCAGTTCTCAAACTGTTGCAAGGTTCAATATGCTTAACTGATATGTGGGGTTTAACGTCCCCCAATATGCTTAAAAGCTGCACTAGTTGGCGATTGACCATCATACCATATAGGTGAAGTGGTGAGCTCTGATGAGGTCAAAAGGGACAAGAAAGGACCACCAAGTGCCCTGTCTCTTTTGCCGGCTCTGTTTTCGTCAAAGACCGTGACTTTGCCTACACGGTGCTGCCAGACTGAGTCCTTATTTCCTTTAGAATACATTGCAGTTCTCATTTACCAACAAACTATTCCCTTCGTGTGAGTATAAGTTGCCATAAATGGCAACATTACAGCGACTAGCCAAAAAAAGACTTCGAAATAGCATCTCTGCACATCTTTCAAATTTTGGCAGCACAGTTTGACAACACCATTTTTCCTGATTAGTGCTCCTCTAATTACAACATCTAAATGCCTTGTAAAGAGAGGCTCTCTGATTTTAAGAACGATTTCGATCCTCACTGAGCTGGTGCGTGTTTATGCAATGTGATGTGCATAGCAAGAAAGAGTGTCATTTATCGTACTACGCTTGTAGTACAAGTACTAGATTTACAAAAACAAATGAGCGGGAAAAAAAGCAAATATAAACAGTAAAATGAGAGAACATTAGTCCCCACAATAATGCTGCATTGAAATTTACGTTCTCTAGGAGTCGTCAACTCGGTGACACTTTCCACATTAGTTCAAGGAGTGTTCGAAATCTGATAGCTGAGTGTACACTGCCTCTACTGTGCTCTTCGATTTGACTTGATGCTAAACAATTTGAACACCACTGCGCAGTTTTCACGCACTTACTATTTTCCAAAATTATTCTTCTCATGTCCAGATTATTGTTTTTTCTTGCACTTCTCCCGCATTTCAACATGGATCCCTGCCATCTCTGTTTTCTGCTATTATAGGCATGAAATTGCTTTCTTTGTGTGATTTCCTCTAAAAATGTGTTTTCCTACAATAAAATCTACATCCGAGGCTAGCATGTTGCACCCACGACATAGTACTATCATGACAGCGATTACTGCGACAATGTAAATGCAGCAACCTTTTTTTTTTTTTTGCTACGTGTGCCAATTTGTCTCAACTTACCACAGAGGACAATGTGGTTCATGCATAGCTGCGCCTGAATCTTTGATTCAGAAGTGTAATGGGGCCCACAGTTGCAGCCACTGTCCCTTGCAAAGAATAAACTTGCTTGCCACTGTGCTTGAAACTCTCAAGAACAGGTTCACAATGCTTAGCACCATCAAAGAGGCCTTCCCGATATGGGGAGACACGCATACCTTGTTCGACTCGTAGGCCGGCACTGACAATGTTCAGCAATCTGTCCGACGGAGGGCACGCAGGGTGCGCTTTCACCATGTTGGACAGGCTGACTGCGAGCGTCTGATGCCCGTCGTAGAACAGTTGGCTGTGGACAACAACAAAAAAGTAGCACGTGATTAACTTAATACAACCTGAATGCGAGCCACTTGGTGGATACCCATATGTAAAACAGCGCAGATGGAAACACAAACTAGTACATATCCTGCATCCATCAGAGATAGAAAAAGGTCTATCACTGATACAGAACATGCATTCTGTTTACTTGCGCATGTTTCCCTCTGTGCTGCTTCACCTATGAAGCCGGCATGTTAGCCATGTGCTAGCAAAAACAGCTCTATTTGTAAAGAACAGGGAAAGAAGACAGAGGCACGCCTTCGGCTCTGAGCAAAGCAAAGCCGTTGGTACTTGCAACTGTTTTTTTAACGGTGACGTCCACACAGCTTAAGACTTTGCGGTGACATGTGGTCATCCGGGGTCATCTAAACAGGCACTGGAGCTGACGTGCTACGTTAACAAGATGCGGTTTTGACAGAGATAGCAGCTTTCGCGTCGGGCTTTTTCCAGAAACAGCTGCCTCGAAATTGTTCTGATTAGCAAAATTTGGGCGCCTTGAAGCTCCCCATTACCGTTGATTGGCTCGAAAGACGCAAGTCTGATGTTTCACTTCTGTGCTCTTCCAGCACACGCGTACACTTAAACACGTGTAGTGCCTATTCAGAGAGTGTGTATTTGAGGCGTGCTCATAAGTACAAGCGATTTGTTTGTTAGAGGCGTCCTCTTAGGCTACGTCTCAACCAACTGTGCACTCGCTACTTTTGCAGGGCGAGAACTGTACGCGCAACAACGCTCAGTCTTCCGGGCAAAAGCGACAGCATTTGGTCGTTATTAACATGGTCCGGCAGCATAGTAATAAGACCCTTAGTAGTGTGATAACTCGTTATAGTTAAAATAAACAAGGCGCTTGCCTAATGATGAGTCTGTAGAGCGTCTCCCGGTCCTTGATGCTGGCTGAGTTATTCAGCATCTTGACTGAATGAAACTCCAAGCAATAAAACCAGTAACACGACGGCGGAAGTGTGTGCAGTACACACTTGCCGAAAGTTTGCAATTCGGTGAAAAGACGGCAGCTACGACGATTCAACAGCCACGCTCTGCACTCTACGCCGATAACAGCAGCCAAAACCACGTTCAAAACATAAGCCTGTGCCGGCCAGTGAGGCCAGTCACTGGTTGCGTTTTTTCGTCGCCGTAGCGCTGGCTGCCAACGTCATAAAAGGGTTGCAAAACGTATTTTTAATATTTGTGTTCTTCATTTTACTCCAAAAACTTTCCAATAAATATGTATTCAGCGTAAGCCTAAAAAAAATGTAGATTTATATGTTAAGGTTGCTAGATTATTGTTGCTAGGTTCGACACTAGCGAAATGTTTGTGTAGTCGTCTGCTACGGTTCAGCCAAGGAGGTTTTGGGTTCGGCACGACAGTCGCGTCTAAATTAGCTATTCATTCCTTTACCTCCACCTACTAAGCGCAGTTTGTAACAGGGGAGCAATTGCTATGCACGCATATGTTATTTGCTTTCAAGCTTGTTTTTTTATGTCAGTGATTTTGGCAAAAAGTAAGGGAAAGGGGAGTGACAACGATCGCATTGTTTGGGGCGCAGCTCTGGCTGGAATATCAATTATTAACACTTCATGTGTACGCAAAACATTCTTTCCTTCTTCAGTCGTTTGGCACTGCTTATCAGATTGGTTAGTGACGATATAGATGCAGTGGCGTTGGACGAAGTACGATTCCTGCTCGATAACGCGAGTTGTTTATTGCGCAAATGCTGGACTGGCTGTGATTGAAACTATGATAACAAGTAAGATAAGCACTTACTGCTTCGTGAGCCAGATTTTTTTCTTCCTTTTTTTTTGTTGAACTATGTCGAAAGAGCCATCGCTGCGATTTCACGTAAGCATTCGAGTTCGATGGGAATGCTGTGCACAATGTTTTCACAAAAAATATGCGCGCTTCTCTTTCTTGAGGTTTCACTGATTGATATATCTAGAAGCTTCTAGAAAGAGGCAGGAATAAAGAGGCTCGCAGCGATTCATGAATTCCTTGCCATAGGCACTAATGAAAACCCAGGAAGTTTTGAACTGGAAACCCGTACATTCGGTACCGCTTCCATCACACAGATGGGAAGTGTAAAGCGGCTGCTTTCGTGTTATTACTTTACATCAAACGAAAGTGGCTGTATCACGCGGCCTTCGGGAAGCGTCATGCTGTCTGTCTGCGACTTCAAGACGACTTGAAGTGCAAGCCGTGTAAACAAACGACGTTGAGTTGCTCTGTTGCGTTAATCGGGTCACCGCTTGGCACCTGGCAACAATGTTATAGGCGCTAACTCCACGAACGTAGCTGAGCACGCCGAAGTTGCGTTGCGCAACAATTTAAGTTTTTGACAGTTTTGAAGTGTTTTTTGACAGTTTAATCTTCGCCCGAGACTTCGACAGTGGCGTGCTCAAGGGAGAAATGTCCTCTCGGCGATCTCCAGACAAAAACGTTGCTCCAGACAACCACACGGGCACAAGTTCGTCTTCGTCGGGGCAGCCTAAAAGGGCACAGTGGTTCACTCTAGCGCAGTGGGCTGCGAATAGATCGTCGTCCACGGAAACGTCACTCAGTTCAACAATATTGAAAACGAGTGACCAAGAACCCGACAAAACGCGTGGCGGCCCTTCGGAGCCGGATGCAAGAAGCCGGCGACGATTACGGACAAGTAAGCCTAAAAGAGGCGACGACGGAGGCTTCAGTGCGCATCGACGCGAAAGTGCGGTGTCGAATCGACGTAGACGAGACGGCTCGTTGTCGGAAGCTGGGCCGGCAAAGAAGACGCCTCATCGCGAGCACGGTGGGTCGTCCGAATCAACGGCACCTTGGCCTGCCGCTCCTACCGGCGAACCGCGAGGGTCAACGAGACAAGGTTCATTTTGGAGTCGTCCGTACCTTCGCGGTGAGCACAGCATGAGGCCTCTCGGCCGCGTCTCCAGTCCTACATCAACGGGAGGCCAGTCTTTCCGGACTGCCTCTCATCCTCGGGATGACAGTCCGACGCACGCCGGTCCCATTGACAGTCCAGGTCCATCAGGACGCCAGTCACTCGAGGCTCCCAGTGCCAAGGCAAGTGCGCCCAGTTCAGTGCCTGAATCCAACGAGCCAAGCGGTGCACGACAGCCGGAAGCTAGTCCGCAGCGGTCTAGTCGATCGACGGAAAATGTTAGGAGCCCGCGCCCCGAAGAGCCCCGCGATAACCGTGCGTCCACTTCTCCGGCGAGGATGTCCGACGTTACCAAGGCAACGACCGATGTCGGTGGCACCTCGGAGATACCGGAACGGTCAGCGTCGCGGCCATCGGGCCAACCAGGGTCCGCAGCAAGGTGTGATGAAGGAAGGCGAGAGTACCACCGGGCTACCGAGTGTACCGAGAAATTGTGCGGCTTCAGTCGAAAACGCGCAAGCTCATACCGAGACGCGCTTTTGCCAGAGTTGTGCGCGAGATCCTGCAACGTCACGCGACGGACGGTCACGATTTCGCCATGCAGGCACTGGCGCTCGAAGCTCTACACGAAGCCGGCGAAGCGGTCCTCGTGCAGCTCCTAGAAGGCACGAACACGATAGCGCACAACGCGCGCCGCGTCACCATCATGCCAAGGGACATGCGAACTCTTCTGACTATCATTAGAGGTAATGGAAACATGCAGAGCTGTTTATCTTAATCTTAATCTCTGTTTATCTTAAGTTTTCATGACGCTTGTAAAGCGAATAAATATTAGTGTTGTAAAGGCGAATAATATAATATATGTGTTGTAATATGTGTGTTAATATATGTGTGTTGTAATATTGTGTAATATATGTGTTGTAAAGCGAATAAATATTAGTGGATTTCGGAATGCGTGATTTTTTTCGACCCGTGTTATTTGAAAAGTTTGGGACACGATATAAAAAAAAATTGTTTTCCTTACGCCGTGAACTCGATAAACTAGGGGGGGGGGGGGGGGGGAATGGTCACTGCGGAAAAAGACTGCTCTCACCCATCCTCCCTCCTCAAACCACCCCATAAGGCCAGCCCTGCTATGCTTGGAGCATAATGAGAAATTCCACACCTCCATCTCGCACGCGTGTAACCACATTGAGCGTAGGCAGGGGTTGCTACTGCGTTATGTGCACCACATGCATTTGCATATCCCTGGACACCGCAACGTGCTGTGTCTCCCAGTAAGGAAGGAAGTAAGGCAAATAGGAGGAAAAAGAACGGCAGGGAGGTTAACCAGCCTTTAGGCAGCCGGTTTGCTACCCTGTGCATGGGTGGGGGAGATGAAAGATAGGGAAGAGAGATAAACACAGCACATTCAGCAGCGCACGCGCGCACAATATCTCTCGGTAATGTCAAACGTTGAGCTATAGTTGGTTATTCGCAGTAACAAGGAAACTGTGCGTTTGCTTTAGACGAGGACAAAACCAGAGGGAAGGACAAGGACGCGCTGACTTTCACGTGGTGGAACTTTTATTGCATAAGAAAAACATATATGTCATGAAAAAAAAAAAAAAAAAAAAACGTGTGGCGGGCAATTCGTGTGAAACTCGAAGTGCATCGCACGGGCGCCCGGCGATTCCCATTCGAAGGGTTCCCACTGCTCCTTTTTCCAAAGTTTCAATAACTTCACTGTTTGCTGTGTGAATGTATGCTTTCCCTGGCAAGAGTGGAATCTTGTTTGACAGATTTAATAAACTCGGCGCGTGGCATGTGTGCTGTTTTCACTGCGCTTTATCGACTTCCTGTTCGCTTCGCGGTGGATATACGCGTCGTCTGCAGCGAATTCCATCAGGTTGTTTTCCCCATCCACGTCCTCATCAAGCGTAGTCGCGTAGCGGCGCAGGGGGAGGAGGATTGGCCCACTCGGCGAGGAGTTGGTACTCTCTCTTGCGCCCTGCCCGTATCAGCCACAGGATTCTGAAACGATTTAGCGATTCTAAGATATCTAATGCTATTACTTATGGGCTATTTCTGTTAATTACACTATCATAGTCATTTTTCGTCCATTTTAACCCGGGTTTGAGAATTGATGGCCTTGTTATGGCGTACATTGATTTACTTTGAGCATTACCACGCCACATGAGATGCAAGAACGGCAAGCCAGGCCCCTAAAACGCATTTAGAGCATGGTCAGAAAACTCACGATCGCTAGTCGAGGCTTCCGAGAACAAACGAGCCAAATATTATAGCGCAGCATGCAGCCTGTAATTCCCAATAAATTATCATAGTCGGCTAACAATTGCTCTCTCTTTTCTCGAGAAATGACGATACAAGCTCGAAAATCTCTAGTCAGAGCCATTGTATCAGGCATTGGCTGGTTTGAGCCATTGAGCATGGCGTTACAGTAGTAGTGGAGTGAGCGAGGCGGCCGTGCCGCATCTCGGCTGATTCTCTGGCGGGTGACAGTAGCGGCGGCGCTGTAGTCGCATGGTACTGAAGCTCTCAGGAGCGTCTGCTTTGGGAGCGCGCGTGCCCGAGCCTGCGAAAGTGTGTAATTTCTCGTTTTTAGCGCGTTTAATGTGTTTCTGAGTCTTTATCAGAGTATGCACACCTGATAAGCGCCATAGTGCACGAGTGAATATGCAGGCATGCCGAAATTGCGTCGAGGCATTCACTGTTTCAAAAGCCTGTTTCAAAAGCCTGTTTCACTGTTTCAAAAAAAAAAAAAATGTCAATCGGAATTTGCACGGATCCGCCTAGCTTCTTGCTCAATCAGTGCTTTGAGCTGTGTTACATCATAAATGGCTGCTGGCGAACTAGAAAGGGAGTAGAAGTATCAAAACCATGATTAAATCATACGCTTGTTGTGTTGGCAGTCTCTACGATATCCAGAGCAGAGTGTTCCTCATATGACGAAAAACCCGAGTATAAGTAACGTTGTCACAACATTAATCGGTGACGACTCTGTTTTATCGTGCCAGTTTTGCGGAAGATAATAATTATTGCTTTCCGAAAGGCTTAATACATATTAAACTTATTAAAACACACAAACATATTAAAAAGTGCCAATTGTGTATATAGCTTGTCTGTTAATCTGCGTAAATTCATTCTAACCAGTTCTCATTTTGTATCGGCAGCTTAAATTGTGCTGTTTTCCTAATATTCTATTGGC